CAATCCTGCCCATGGCCACTGTCGCTGGAAGCCATCTCCTGCTGCCCTTGGCATTGAATCCTGCCCTTATGACCTTCTCATGGTAGTTCTGGCTCATGTGCCGCCCCAAAAGCATGTCTATTCCTTTTCTTTCTTTTGTACTGTATTTTTATCAGACCTTGAGTCAACGGAGTATTGAAGGATCATACCCAGTAACATTCGTTTTCATGGCTAGGCTTTGAGAGCCTGCCTGTATATATAATAACAAATCAAGTCTTACTCAAAATAGGCTCAATTGGAATGAACTGTCGAATTATTGTTGCTCTTAACATTATACGTCTATCAACACACATTCCATCACCTCGATATCTACAGTGACATTTGTTCTCACTTTATGTTTGACTCAGTCAATAAGCGAACGAACAGTTGGGTTGAAACATCGAAAATAAATCATCGCAAAAGTAGGGAACCGAATCTGTAGAAAGTCTGATTTGATTCAAAGCCGTCTATCCCAAACCAACGCCTCTATACCATCCGTTCAGGTCTATCTAAGTATGTAAATACCATTCATTCTTCATAGCGATACCGCATCATGTATAAATGAAATGATGCCTTCATTCTCCTTTTGTAAACAACCGCCAGATACCGCACAGCATGGAGACTCGTTCATATCCGCATAGTCTCGAAACAAAAACGCACATAAGAGCAAAAAGGTCCAATGAACTTTTCTAGTTGTCCTCGTCGTCGGTGTCAGGAGGATGAGGAGTACCCTTGGGGCTGTTGAGCCATTCAATGTGACGAAGTCTCCGGCGGACCTCACGCTCCTTTAGCTCCTTCTTGGTCATCTTCTTCTTCTTCCTGGCCTTGAACTTCATATCCGAGTTGTCCTCGATACCACTGTTGACAGCGCTGCTCACAACAGAGCTGGCAGCAGTACTGTTGACGCCACTGCTGGGACGGCTGTCCTCAAAGCGGTCAAGACTGACGGCAGTGTTTCCTCGAAGGGCAACACGGCCGTCACGGACGTGCCACTGCTCAGAGCAGAGGGCACCGACAAACTCTTCGTTGTGAGAGATCAGGATAACGCCACCCTTGAAGTCGCGAATAGCAACTGCAAGACCACCAAGGGAGTCACGATCCAAGAAGTTGGTAGGCTCATCAAGCACGAGAAGATGGGGGTTGTTCCACATGGCTCCAGCAATGACAACCTTGACCTTCTGACCTCCGGAAAGCGAGCCAATCTCGTTGTGGTTGGCGATCTCGGGGTCGAGTCCAAGATCCTCAAAGTGCTTGGAGATGACCTTGGGCTGAAGCTCACGGTAACCGAGACCCTCTCGGGAAGCCTCGTGATCGTCAAATTCCTGGACGAGCTTGTCGAATCCAAGCTCGGTAAGAGTCTCACGAGAGATCATGGTGTTGTTCTTAGGCAGGAGACCTCGCCACTTACTGTTAGAAGTTAGTCATGAGCTTTGTGATGAAACAATCAAGGGAACTTACACTTCGTATTGGAAGGTCTTCTTGTACTTTGAACGACCAACCAGAGACTCAATCTGGCGTGGAGACTTTCCATCCTTCAAATCAACCCACTTGTCCATCTGAGCACGATCGGCATCTGACAGAACACGAGTCTGCTTCATATGAACCTCACGGTCGTCACCGTGCTGGTAACGCCACTGAAGATACTGGTTGGGGGTCTTCTCCAAATGCATCTCAACGTGCTCTAGGGCGTGCTGCTTGATATAACCGATACGGAGGTTAGGGTGCTTCTCAACCTTTCCTGTGGTAGGGATAGTCTCGCCGGTAAGGAGCTTGATAAGAGTCGACTTGCCAGCACCGTTGGGGCCAATGATGGCAACACGAGAGGACAAACTCAATTGACAAGAGACTTCCTGCAGTGAAGGCTTCGTCGCACCGGGATAAGCGTATGAGACGTTGGACATGCGGATAATGGCACGAGTCTGAGACTTGACACCAGTCAGGATACCAGGGGGAGGGAACTTGAACTGGACCGTAGAGGCGGAGAGAGTGTAGTAACTCTTGGCCTCAGGACGAATCTTGACGAAATTGGCCAGGTTACCCTTGTAACAAGCCAGCTTCTTGTTGGGCTCGTAATGGTAAATATCAGTTGTGACATTGTCCAGGAATCCGGAGTCGTGAGAAACAATGAGACTGGTGATATCGGGATGAGACTTGAGGTAGTTCTCGAGCCAGGCGATGTTGGCAACATCAAGATGGTTAGTAGGTTCGTCGAGAAGGAGGACGTCGGCACGCTGGAGCATAGCTCGGGCCAGAGCCAGCTTCATCTTCCAACCTCCAGAGAGGGAACCAACTCTCTCGGCCTGTCGACCCTCAGGGCCAGCAGTGAAGCCGAACTCGGCCAAAACCTCAGAGATACGCTCACGGCCTTGAGTGGCAATCTCAGGGTCCTTAGCAACGAACTCAAGAATGCTGATATCAGCGTCTTCGCCCTGGTTGTGCTCGACGTAGCAGGTACGGAGAACGTCTTGAGGAGGGAATCCCTCGAGCTTGCCGTTAGCAATGCTTCGCATGAGAGTAGACTTTCCAGCACCGTTGCGGCCGCAAAGACCATATCGGTGACCCTTGAGGAGGCGCAAGTTGGTGTGTGACAAGAGCAGCATACCACCATAGGCGAGAGAGAAATCGGCGTTGACAATCTCGACCTCGCCGTCGTCCTCCTTCTCAGGAACACCGTACCGGCGGTGGTCCTCATCAACATAGTGCTGCTGAATAGTGTCGGCAATCTTTTGAGGGGCGTTGGCATCCTTCACGAAACTCTTGACGTAGGGAGCAATTCTTCCAGAGATACGATTGACGAACCGGTAGTTGACATCGATAGCAACCATGTCGGAAATATAGGGGCGAGCCTGCTTCCAGAGGTCAAGGCTTCCGGTGAGGCCGCCGTTCGCTTTGATCTGCTCATCAAGAATCTTGGCTACGTCGTCTCCAGCGGTACGAGCGACGACGTCCTTATCATCACCCATAGCCTTCTCCATAGTGGCCAGGGCACGTTCAGCGATCTCGCGAACCTCAGGGAGCGAGGCTCGGTCGCAAACGCTCTTGACACCAGGGATCAACTTAGGCAAGAATGTTCGGGCCTCGATGGGGTCATGGACCAGCTTTGTCAAGTTTTCTACGATAACAACAGTCTGTCGGAGGACCTCCTGGGCAGTGGTGGGGTTGTTAAGAGATCGCTCGAGGAAAGGGGTCAGAAGAGCCAGGACAGGTGAGGTGACGATGGCGACGAAGGTGGTTTGAGACAGAGCGTGAATAGCCTTCTGGAGAGTCTGGGACGAAGGGTGTTGCATGGTATCGATCAGAAGAGGGATACGAGGAGCAACATCGTCGTTGGAGAGAAGGGTAGTGAGAGAGTTCATGGTGTGAACGGCTTGCTTCTCGACCTCAGCCTTCAAGTCATGCATGCCATTCTCGACGACGGGGATCAAGCCAGCGAGCTTAGCACCCATGGCCTCGCGGAGGATATCCTTCTCAAGGGCCTCCTCTTTGGTGCCTCCAATAGAAATTTGAGCCTTATCAGCCATCTTCTGAAGAAGCTTGTAGGCGCCAACGGTTCCCTGCCACTTTCCGGTTTTCTTGGAAAGATACTCTGTAAGAGCAGGAAGGAGGCCAGCGACAAGAGCTTCGGGGCTCAGGATGCCAAAAGCGGCATCGAGGCCATACTGGGCGGCCTCACGGACGACAGCGCCCTTATCAGAGAGAGCATCAAGAGCGCAGCCGACAAGGCCGCCATCCTGGAAGAGCAGAACAACCTCGCTGACAGGCTGCCGCGGGAGGAAACGCTCAAAGACGGCGCCTAGAAGGTTCTGACTGGACTCGCGCCGAAGACCCGACTTCTTATCAGCGGCAGCCTTCTTGATCTCGGTGATGATGCCGTACTCGTTCAAGCCGGCAACGCCAACGGAAGAGAGGATAATCTCGCAGAGGCCATAGCATGCATCGATCGAAGCGGCCGAGGTCTTTGCAGTGAAGATTGTGTTGAGGAGGTCGTTGATGGTTTCTTGAGATGGCGGGGGCGGGGCCTCGTTAGATACCATCGTCGAGTCCTGCGACGGCGGCGTAACGGGGTGAGGCATCGTCTATCGTTTTCTTCGTATAAGCAAACAAATATATACGATTAACGGGCCTCGTTGAGTATTAGGTACTGTTCCAGGGGAGGACAGTGAGACTATGTAAGAAGGAGAAAAAAGGAACAACAAAAACCAACGAGGCCCTTGAGGGAAAAAAATATGTAGCGAGCGTAGAAAAAGCGCTGCTGCTTACGATGGATGTTAGGTAAAACAAAGCGACTTTCATAGGTTGGGCGCACTAACTAAACTACTAAATTTCGGTTTGAAATTTTTCTTATCGCTAGCGGCGGTTGTCTTATCGCCATCCACTCGGAGACTCCGCTCCACTGACTAGAGCCTGGAGGTATCCTTGTTTATTTCCACGTGCATTCCGGGGACTCATTTAGTGGACTCTCAGTACCTTATGCGATTCAGAGTTACCGATCCAGAGGCAACTTAATAATTAAGTGCATTCCCTATTTTGTCAGTGATTCAAGATAGTCAGTCACCTAGTTCGACTAAAGTTCTGGACATTAGTTACTCCATGTAAAGTAGAATCGGTTTGTGAGAAAAGTGAATCTAGTGGCTTAAACTGACTGTGGTATCTATCTAAATAAAGTCTCAGATGTGTATCAGAGCCAGGGCTCATCTTCCCAGTCAGTGCCCGTTCAACGCCCGCATGTCGGTGGCTGTACCATAAGTTACCGACTTTTCCAGAGTCTCTGCTCAAAACAAAAGGGGAATGAAAGCGTGAAATATAGTGGACTAGTTAACATAAGGTAGGTAGGGGGTATAATAAAAGAAGAAAGAAACAGGCATCATATCATCCTGACCGCCTAACATGATGAATACTTCCCAGAAGCTACGCCATCTTGGAAAAAAAGAAAATACAACTACAATGCAAGAGTAAAATCCCACCTCAGTGCATCATTAGAGCTAATGACTGTGTTCACTTCTCAGGGCCACTGGACCTTGGAAACCAGAACTCCCAGGGACGACATCGTGCATTTCCAATCCCTGAGAGCTCGATCTCGGCCGCTTGTCTCGTCGAATGCCTAGGCGTTGGTCGCCTTCATGATAATGCGCTTTGAACTGATAATACGTGGGTTGCCGAGGGCGACATAGAACGACAATAAAGTTCTTGAACATGTTGGCCTGAGAGAAAGCCCGGAAACGTTCCTTCTTAGCAAACTTGTGTGAGTTCATGTACTCTCTGGTCGTTTCGCCTCGCGCCATGAGGAAGATGTGATATCCCATCAAAGCAGCAGGATAAAGGAAAGAGATAAACCCAAGGAATACCAGCGCAAAAGGAACTCGGAAGTGGTCGATAGCCTTTCCGAATGAGACACCTTCACGATTCTTGTAAAGAAGAATCTGTGTAAGAGAGGTGGCGATGAGGTAGGCAGCGAGGATAGTTGCGGACGTAACAAAGGTAAAGAAATATCGGTAATTACGTTTCCCGACACAGTTGTTGAGCCATACGCAGTGATGATCATGGGTCTCGATACAGTTATCGCATAAGCGACAGTGGTGGGCACGGGGTGGTCGCCAGATATTGCATGTTCTACAGTGCTTAACCGGAACTTCCATGGCGGCTGTTGATGATTCGGCAGATTTTATCAATGCCCAATCTGTCGTGGGTGGGCTAAGTTGAAGAGGGTCGTCGTTGTCGTCGACAGGGGGAAACTGGTGAAGATTTCGCGGAAGAATCTGACAAGCATTAGCCAACGCGCATCCTGATGTGAACAAGATATAGACTTACCCCAGGATCGGTAACAGAGGCGTGGATGAAGGAAGAGAAACATATATACGCAAGGTATGCAAAAACAATAGGTATCGCAGGCGATACATGCTTCCATAGCCATGGTGCTTCAAAACCAAAGAACAGGGCGCAAGGAATGATGACAAAGATACCAGTCGCAATATTAACAGGTCTCCCTCTTGTGTTTTGCCAGCGACCACCAAGACAGAATACTGTGTTGCCATCGAAATACTGATAAACACGTCCGAGATCGGATTTCTGACTTGGCTTATGAGGAACGCGGGGATGACGCTCAGTATGAGAGTCTACAGGTCTGAACTGTGGTGAAGATGCGGACGAAGAGAGTTTTTCAGCTCCTTCGGTACTGCGATTCTGACTTTGCTGGCCCTCGTTACTTCGGCCCGGCATGAGGAAGCTTGATCGAAACGACCGTGGAGATTTAATCGGGCTGGGCAGGTTGTGTAGATCCTTATAACTCTTGTCCACAATGATGTTATGCTGAAAGTGACCTGTATCAGAAGTCTTGCCTTGTTGAAGAGGACGAACACTATCCGTCAAACTCCCCGCAGGATAATGGCCATGACTAGGGCTCGTATTCGCTGTTATTCTGTCCAAAGTTTCTTGTTCCGTCATTTCCGTGCCTCGGGATGGTGGAGATCGCATGTTTTCGTCATGGCTTGTTTGGCGCTGCAGTTGCGCAATGGGGTTCGATATGATACTTTGCCGTGTTTGACTGCCACTAGCTTCGCCGTGCTCATCGAATCTTTGTTGTGACGTTGGCGATGTTGGTGACGTTGGCGAGGTGGGAGACGCTGGCGACATTTGACTCATTGTAGATGGGCGATGCGATCCTCCTCTCTGTGCCTGTAATTTCTGCGAGCTCATGGGTCGGAAAAAAGCATGCGACTGTAACGATGGAACATGGCTTCTGCTTGATAAACTCGGCGCTTGACTTGTCGAACCGGCAGTTGAACTCTCGACGCTCCCTCTCTTCGCTTGTACGCCAGAAAGATATGTCTTGTTACGCAAAGACTGACCCTGCCATGGACCCCTGGAAGACGCTCCCGTTCGTGCAGTATCAGGCCGAGAACCCATGTCCGCACTTCGAGGAATGCTCATCCTGTTCTTTTGCAATTCTGGCCCGTCCCCGTCCTCACTCGCGATGTCCGTCATTCGAGAAGAAATTATGCTCGGCGGCCGGGCTGCTTCGGAACGGGAATTATGTGGCGCTGAGAAGCCATCGTCATCGGATTTCGCGGCCATAGCGATGGCAATGTTGAGTAATGGTGCCGCTGGTAGTCGTCTGCCTGGAGACGACTTTACAGGAAGTCTTGATCGAAATCAAGGGAACGGTTGCGCGAATGGCCAAACCAAGCTCGGCCTCCCATTCAGAGTCTCGTCAAATTCGTCGCCTGGCCAGTGAACAGGTAGTGTCGGATGATATCCAAAAGTAAAATCGGCACGGTCGGCAGGTTGGTCGCGTTACGCAGTACTGTACAAAGGAGCCAAATGAAGGGATGGAAGGACAGGGGTGAGAGGATACGGGTTTCGATTGGGGAAAAGGGAATTAGGAGAAAGTGGTCGCGAGAAAGATAGTTAAGCACGGTAGGTACTAAGGTAGGGAGCGCACAATTGGAGAGTTAAACCAGTAAGTAAAAGAGAACGTAAAGGGCGGCCAGCAACGAAAAGAAAGGTGATGGATGGTGACAAGATGAAGAGGAGGTGTATGCTTGTTCCTTTTTCCTGTCCTGTCCTGTACTTGCCTTGTTCCGGCTCAGGACTGGTTTCTTTTTCCAAGCCCAGCCCGGTCCAGCCTCAGAAACCTTGGGCCTGAATCCTTAGGTAATTGGACGTTCGCGCTCTCCCAAGCTGTCCTCGGGCCCCCTACCTAGGTAGGTAGTAGTAAGGGGCCAGGGGCTAACCTCAGGTCGCTGAAGCCCCTGCTAGCGGCGCTGCTGTATGTAAGGACTGTCAGAGGTTGAGAACTCCCAGACGATAACTGATCACGAAAAGTACTAGACTAAGAGATTGCGATGGCTGAACGCATACGCCGCAATCAAAATGCTCCGTAGCTTTCTCATGCACAAAAAGACGTCACTTTCGACAGGTTGTGGAAACCTTCTGCAGCAACCCGTTTCGTTGACGTTTGACAGCCAGTCCCAGAATAACTTCGGCTACGGTAACTCAAGCAATAAGGATGGTTGCATTCATTTCAAACTCGACTGAAGCCAGTTAACCAGCTATTTTGGCTGGTCTTGGCTTTAAGAGGTTGATATGATGGTCGCTGCATCACAATGAACGAATCCTTCATGCTTTCTCACCTAGTTACTATAGCCAGGGGACAATAACTATTAGTGGAGGGAGCCAGCTTGTGGCCTGGTTTTCCAGTCATCATCGTTAGAATGCTCTGGGCCCAACTCAGCTTATTAGACGTCATTCCTTGTAAATCGTGATGCTGCACGTGACCTTCTCAGCTTCCCGGGCATTGACCAATGATAGTGCGCGCATTCATCGTAGCGACTGTCTCCGAAATCATACGAGAACTTCAAAGCTTCAACCACCTAAGAAAGCCCCCGACGTAGAAACCCATTCTTTAACAGCAATCAAAAGCACGTCGTCAAAATGGCCTCTCGCATCTCCCGTCGATTCCTCTCCACCACCGCCCGCCGCTTCCAGGAGCATCAGAAGGCTGAGCTCAAGAAGGAGTCTCGTCGCAACCCTGAGATTCTGGTGCGTCATAATGCCTCGGCCCACCCTTGGAACTATGCCCGGCCAAAACAATGAATGAGCAACGGAAACCGACCACGAATTATGGTTGCTAACGTGGATGGATGATTTGTAGATTCTCGGTGGTGTCATGGTTGCTGCCCTTGGCGGTGCCGGCTACTACCTTGGTACGTAAATCAGTTGATATGTCAAAACTGAAGCAATTGCTGACATCGCCATCTTCAGGCCGATCTCCCACTGGCGCTACCTCCGAGTCTCCCGTCACCATCGCTACTCACCCCTGGGAAAGCGGCAGCTCTGGCAAGTACCAGTACCACCCCGGTGGTGACCCCAACGCAGCTCCCAAGGACGCTCCCAGCGCTCTCAACGTTGTCGTCGTTCCCAACGTTACCCTTCCCGCCGAGCTTCACGAAAAGTACAACAAGTGGGGCAAGGACGGATACCCTTAAATCACGAGTTTGGAATGATGTTGGAGCCGGCTACATGAACAAGCATGTATTGTAGGGAATGAGGGTAGAGCTTATGAGTTGGATCAGTCAGGTCCCTCACGCCCTGTGTAGAAAGAAGAGGGACAAAATGGGCTTGTTCTAAGCAACCACCCATAGTTCACATACGACGCGCCGCGATTTTTCTTAGCTTTGTGTCTTTCAACTATAATTTGACTTATCTCTGGCCTCATTATGTATCTCTGTGCCTGATCTCCGGCTCACGGGAATTGACCGGGCGAAAGGCCGGTCTGGATATGTTCACATGGGCCGCCAATCACACCGACGAAATGGTATGATTTCACATACGTTACAGAATACCTCTTGTTTCTCGTTACTTCTTGGTATCTCATCACTCACCACTACAACACCATCTTTCCTTGTAATATCCTAAACTCCTATCTTCACCAGTCTTGTGACAACTTTCTCTGAAGTCGACGTCAACAACTAAACAACCAACGCATCAATCTCTTCGGAAGTGAATCCAAGAAGATACAGGAGATCCAAGAGGCTCTCGCCATTCAAGCGGGCGTTAGCTTCCATCTGAACACGAGGCTTTGCGTTCCATGCAACTCCTAGACCTGCCTTGTCCAGCATGAGCAAGTCATTAGCGCCATCGCCAACGGCAATAACCTGATACAGATCAATGCCCTCCTTGGCAGCAATGTCAACGAGAAGATCCCTCTTCCGCTCCTTGCCCACAATGACCCCCTCGACCTCGCCTGTGAACTTGCCGTCTTGAATAACGACGTGGTTCGCGTGGGCGTAATCAATGCCCAGTTGGCCAGCTAGCCATCTTGTCAACGGCTGGAAACCGCCTGAGAGAACAGCTGTCTTGACACCCAGTCGCTTGAAGGCCTTGATCAACTCTGGTGCGCCCTTAGTGACGTCCAATACTGGCCGCAGGCCTTCAAACAGGTTGGCAGGAAGACCCTTGAGAAGAGCAACTCGTTCGCGGAAGGAAGCCTCAAATTCCAGCTCGCCCATCATGGCACGGTGCGTAATCTCAGCAACTCGGGCAGCCAGATCTGGGGGATCCTTGACATGATCAGCCAAAAGGTCAATCACCTCTTGAGTGATGAGTGTGCTGTCCATGTCAAAAACCACAAGTCGAGGGTGGCGTCTCCACACTGTATCTCGCTGAAGGACCACATCGACGTTCCACTCCTGCTCAAATCGATAGATCATCTCATGCTTTCTCAGGTCATCCAGGCTCAGATATTCGGGTGATGGCGTAGGAGAGAGCGTGAGCTCAACAATGCGTGGTTGCTCCTGGTTATCCAAACATCGATGAGAGGAGTGAGGCTCATCGGCGTCCTGAGGAAGAGGGAATGAAGACATGAGGTGGAGGAATGAGGTGATGCATAGAGGTGAGATGTAGGAACCATAGATGTGGTCGAGCTGCTCTGACTCTTGAGTTGGCGGCTCCAGCGGATACTCATTAGGATCGGTTGTCGGGGCCAAGTTGGCAGGCAAAGACTCGTTACTGTCTGCAAAGGTAGTTTTGACGGGGGATCTGGAGCCCTGATCCTCGCCCCTTGGCTTATAGAAAAGGGTCGCGATAAGACGATCCGACTTCTCACCAGCTCTGGGAGCGCAATTGGGGTGAGAGTACGAGTGGCTCAGTCCACTGTCGACAACGGTGGGGGGGTTCTCCTCAGAAGGGATGCCATTGAAGGGCAAGATAGGCCTTGTCTGGGGAACCGGCGAGTTGCTAGTGTCCTCTATAACGGTGTCAATGCCGTGGAACAGCTGATCCTGTCGAGCTGAGTCGGGTCGAGGAGGGCGGTACTCCTGGTGATCACTAAGGTATGAGCTGCTCCTCATGGAGCCCAGCTGCGGCCGTGTGACGTTCTGTTTGGTGGGACTTGTCTGCTCTGCCATTGTGTTGACTGTCTGTTTATGTGCGTGCGTGCGCGGGGTGAGATTTGGTAACGTCTGACTGACTGGCTCTGACTGGTTCCGTTAATCGATAGCGTCAAGGAAGAGCTGAGATACGAGGTTTAAAGCCCAGGTAGAAAGGAGACTAAGAAATGTTTAAATCAACGTAGATAGGGTAAGTAATAACGCGCAAGCGCCTATGGTACAGCGAGCAACGAACCCCAGAAGCTTGTGTTGAATCAATCTTCAGACTCAAAGATGAGAGGGTAGTGACCGTGGGTTGTCTTTCGCCAGGGCACTTCTCTCCGTGTTTGCCCCGCCAATGGCTCGTGCGACTTTGACCTTACGGCATCTGCGGCTCCTGTCAGGCTTGGTCTAGGGTATGATTGGTGCAAATAAGCCCGCAGCCTCACGGGTTTTGTCATTTTGATGAAGGCCTTCAATGAACCTGGGAAATCACGTGAGTTTAATTTAAGATGTATGTAACTCTGATGAATTGTCTGTGGTAAATCTTTGAAGGTCGTGGTTGCAATTAGCCCACAGTTTGTCTTGTTGGAGAGTCCTGACTCTGGTCCTTTAAATGAGCTCCTCGTATTGGCTCCATATAGCTCGGTGTTGATAGAAAACTGTCGGCGTCAACTCATGAAGGAAACATTGAAATAATGAAAACTTGGCTCACCCAGGAGCGAAACCAACAAAATTATAGAGTACGGGTCACATTGATAAAGCAATGACGCAAGCAACGAGCTGAGACTAGGGTAGGTATGACGTAGCTTGAGATTGGGCCAGAGATCTCCACGTTAGCTTGATAAGTCAGCAAGTTTGGCATTCCATCGTTAAACCCGTATTAGTGAGCATTCAATTATCGGAACACGGCCTAACCTTTCATCCCTCGTGCGTTCCGATTCCCGAAGAGGAGAAAAAAATTGTTCAAACTGGAGCAGGCACAAACGGCAGTCGCACGGTTCCTCGGTACCGATGTTCCGATCCTCATATTGACAAAGACCGACTGCCGCACCGGCTGCTCGGTATTATATTGCGCCTTTGAAGCACGTCTTGTTGGGAACATGTAAGACGCCAGCACAATTTTATAATTGGAAGTAACTTGTTAATTTTGCCTCCATACGGGCTGAGATACAGGCATCGAGCTGTCCTGTCGACCCGTATGAAGCCCAACTCAAAAATCATCAATAATGGATCTTTTCAATCATCGATCTCAGGAGGTGGCAACACAATGGCTCGTTCTTGCGACAGAGATACATATACATCGAGCGACACACTATCATCGTAAACCGAAAGCATGTTCGCTTCCTCCAGAGATACTACGCTATGTACCTACCTACCAAGGCATGCAATTGAATTTCGCAACCCAAGCCAAAATGACATGATCGCGGGGAACCTGCCCTCGTGCTCACAATTGTGCAATGGATGGCCCTGGTCAGTCACCGACTGACTCCATCTGATCTCGCCAATCCCATGGTTAGTTATGTATGTACATCCATACCCAGATCTAGATAACATGGGATTTGACTTTGATTGTGAGATGAGCCAGATCAAGACCATATAATTTCTAAGCGACCCCTAAAGAACCTTCTGCTCGCAGGATGATGGTATGTAAACCTCCAACCTCCGGGGTTGCCGCTACCTATAGTCCCACCGAATAAGAGGCCCAATGGACCTCCGGCTCGGCGGCTGTATCGAAGTTATGTCGTTGTCCGGGATGAGGTGAGGCAAAACAAGTCCCATATGCTGGGCGCCATTTCAGGGCTTTGGTCCTCAGGCCAATCAGACTTTGTCCTGAGCGTGGCGCCCCCATCGCGAACGGTATAGCGTCGATGTCGTGATCAGTCTCAGTTGCAACTCATGGCCGTTAATCCTCATGGCGGCGATTGCGCAATTGCAGCTCCCCATCTTTTTCCACGTCCTGGGCTCGTCACAGGCAGAATACTCTCGGGTTCGGACAATGTCCTTGCACATTACTAAGGACGCCCTTGATCGGGGGCACAGCGGGCGGTCGCCCGGACATAGCTTGTAAATCCCATACAACTCAGCACGTCTCTCCCTCTCCCTCTCCCTCTCTCTCGACTTAACTTAAGAATTTGACTGTCCTCGTTCATTGTCGTGTTCGTCATCTCGTCTTTCCAGTGCTTTGAAATCCTGCTCTATAATCAAATCAGCACAGTATCTGCGTCATCAACTCTACCTTACCCCTTGGCTGCCTATTAGATATAACTGGGATACATTCCTCACCTATCCCAGCTTTCAACAAGTCCCAAGCAACAACTCATCTTCGAGACACCATCACCTCGTTTTCAACATGCCTGCCTTCATCTCTCAAACATCCTCACAGGTGTCACTCACCGACATCAAGCTTGAGTGCGAGTCAGGCTATGTCTCTGGACAAAACTCAGAATACTCATCACCATCATCATCAACCACTCTGCCCCAGGTCTCTCTCACCAAGGCCCACATCAACCACCTCAACAACATGCTCGAGGATATGCACCCCATGGACATCCTCCGATTCTGCAAGGTCATGTTCCCTAACCTGTACCAATCGACTGCCTTTGGCTTGACCGGTCTCGCAACCATGGACATGCTCTCCAAGATCCAGAGGGAGCACCCCAACTCTCCCACTGTCGATCTCATCTTCCTGGATACCCTGTACCACTTCAAGGAGACATACGACCTTGTCGACCGAGTTAAGGAGCGATACCCTAACGTCCCTGTCCACATCTTCAAGCCCGATGGCGTCAACACTACCGAAGAGTTCGAGGACATGTACGGAAAGGAGATGTGGAACACCGCCAGTGAGATGTATGACTGGATTGCCAAGGTCGAGCCTCTCCAGCGAGCCTATGATGAGCTCAAGGTTGCTGCTGTACTCAACGGTCGTCGACGATCTCAGGGTGCTGCTCGTGGTTCCATCCCCATCATCGAAGTTGACGATGAGCGTGGTGTTGTCAAGATCAACCCTCTGGCCACTTGGTCCTTCAAGCAGGTCAACAACTACATCAAGGAGAACAATGTTCCCTACAACGCTCTGCTCGACCAAGGCTACAAGTCCATCGGTGACTGGCACTCTACAGCCCCCGTCAAGGAGGGTGAAGACGAGCGAGCTGGCCGATGGAAGGGTCAAGACAAGACCGAATGTGGCATCCACAACAAGAAGTCTCGATACGCCGAGTTCGTTGCGATGATGGAGCGCAAGCAACAAGAGGAGAAGCTTGCTGCTGCTCTCGAGAAAGTGGCCCTGCCCATGGTATGAGTGCACTTGCACCCAGACAACCACTTATCTTTGATGACTTAATGATTGAGGCATTATGCGAGGCGTTTAAGGAGATAAACTGGCTCAGCAGTTATCGTGACTGAGCCAATAGAGCTTTTGGTATTTCGGGAAATCATTGAATGGCGTTAGGAAAAATACAGGAAGCTGGGTGCAATGGAGAAATAGCAAGCATATGAGAGCAGATAGATCTGTCGCGACAATAAATGAAAGAATCAACCAAACTTCTTAAAACGTGTCTTTGCAAGTGAGATCCGTGATATCAACTATGAGAACTGAGGTCGAATGGTAATCAGGATCACGAGGTTGGAGCCACAATGATAAGCTACCCCGCGTCAAGACATGAGTTTTCAAGCTAACGAACCATCACATCTCCACTGCCAGATTCTGATATCGTCTTATCTGGGCCCTTTGACCTACCCTTTAGTGCCTACCTACAACTGTCCATCGTGACCTTTTTCAGCCTCGCGCCACTACTACATAGTAAGGTACCCAACAAATGAAAAAGTCTTGCCTCTTGCCAATATGCAGGAAATCGCCTTTTCCTCGCCCGCTTTCGTTGAAAGAAAGAAAAAGATCCTCGAACAACTTGCAGTTCCAGACAGAGAATATTCGGATGCTTCACCAAAAGGCTCTGTAGATGAGGGCATCAGGGATCTCATTGATGAAATCAACCAACAATCCGGATTTGTCACTACCAGCAGCTGTGCAGGCCGTGTTAGCGTTTTTCTTGAAGGGCGGAGAGTTGCTGACACTGAAGGAGAAGATGAACGGGTAGCAGGTGTTGGTGGGAAAGGCGCTGGGGGAGCTTGGTTGTTCGTTTCCCATGATCCAGTACCTGACAAGGGTGACGGAGGTACAGACTGGAGCAGTTTATTTGGACTCCAGGAATCTACAGAGGCACAGGAGACAATTGGGGAAGTGAAAGAGAGAAGACTTGTCCACTTCAAGTACGAGGCAATGGTAAGCAGAAATTGTGCTGTATCGAATATAGCAGAAAGCCATTATATAATACAAAGAACATCCGTACTGAGATATCATGTAGATCCTCCACGTTCTCACAGCATCACCTGAACATGCTCAACTACTTCTGCGCTGCGGCCTACAGGCAGGATTTCGCGAGTCGGGTGCCCTCAATATCATCCCGAATGGCAAGGATGCTGCCACTCCTATGGTAGCTATACGGACAATGGGACTTGCCTTCGAGTCTCTCATCGGGCAGCAAATTGATGGCCATCGGCAACGCATAGTCTCACTCGAGTACCTCCAGACCCTCGTCCAGATTGCCAATGAGCGCTTTACCGAGAACAAGAAGCGCATTCAACGCTTCCAGAACGCCTTCAGAGATGCTGTCGCTGCTCCAGTACCACGTCTCAATCCTGAAGGACAAGAATGGGAGGACGCTGTGGCGAGAAGAGAAAGGAAGCGTGCTGAGGGCCTGCGAAAGAAAGCCGAGCTGAAAGCCAAGCAAGAGACAGAACCAGAATCAGACCGCGCCAATTCAGGTAAGGAGGAGGACGCAGGACTATTGTTTGAAATATAAGTTGTACACTTTAGTTCCTCAACCTAGTTTTTCCCGCTATCAATGCCGTAATGTACACGTGCGTACCTGTTTGGGCATACCAGAGCCCATTGCCTCTATATCTCTATAGAATCATTCCCCATTCCCAATATCAGTTTTCCTTGTCTCTACGAGACGACCTTCTCGACCCAGCTCTTCTCAAGTTTCTTTACTTCGGCTTTGAAGTTCTCCACCTCCTGCCAACAGTCGAGCGGCCGTCGGTCGTGCTCCCGCAGACATCGAATGACTTCATTGCGCGCTCCCTCAACGCTCTCGGGCAGAGGACGCACCTGCTTGCGTGACTCGAGCTTCTCACGCATGGCTTCAATCTCCTTACTGACAGTGTACTGGCTCGTGCTGTTGTCATCTTTGAAATCGGCGCTGGCGAGTTTCTCGTGTGCTATTTTGAGAGCTTCGGCCTCTTTCTGCTGTAGCTTCTTGAGCTCCTCGGCCACGCGGGCCTGGATCTGGAGCTCGACTATCTTGGAACGAGAGGCATCGGTCTATTTAGAATCAAGAGAACGTGGATTAGCTTCAATTGACACATGCAGAAATATTGTAGTAAGACGATGTGGATAGAAGTACCTCATTGCTGGATTGTAGTGAATCAACGAGATCTTGTGACAGTCCGTTAGGCGCTGAGCTGTTTATTGGCAAGCTGTCAGTCGCTGATTGGAATATAGTAGTATGCCCTCATAATTGGATTAACTCACGCCTTCCACACATGTGAGGAGATTGGTTTCGACTCGCTGGAACCCATTGTGTCGACCGCAATGGCTGTACAACCGATGTTCAATGGAAATTTCCGGCGTTAGGTACGAGCGGCGATCCGTTGCTGCCTGAGGTTGTAAATCCATCCGGTGAAGAGACGCCTCGTGTGGCGCTTGAGTGTGGCGCCTCACCGGACCACATGCTACTTGTACTGTACCTCCTGTACCTTAATTAATGCATGACATCGTCCAAGGAGGCTTGAACACAGGACGATGTCCGTGCTACTTGCGATGATGATTCAACAAACATGCCACTATCGGCAATCTATATTCCACAAACAATGATAAACTCATAACACCGGCCAAGCCCGCGCTTATTGCGATCTGATGTTGGGGTATGATGGCCTGTTCCAAGATCATGGCGATTTACAGAAGCCAATGCCTGCGAATGCCTGCGAATGGGAATGTCACGGCGAACCAGCTTACGAAGTCCTGCTGTAAGGTCGCGGCTTGACTGGCCGATAGGATTCAAGGATTAACGCAAGCATCAGGTTCAGGACAATCTCCTCAAGGGGCCTTGAGGTTTCCATTTCTAGAATCGAGATAGCGCCCGCTCGTGGGGCTGTATACATCGGATGTAGCTTACCAAGGCATCGGAAGCGAGCATTCAGGCACTAGATAATTTTATCTGTGACGCCAAGACAGTTGACTTGATAGACAATGTGCGCCAAAGGATCAAGAGCCTCGTGGGCCTGGATACCCAGCGGTCATTTTTCCGTTATCATGTTAGACGGTGGACAGGCTAACTGGGCCGCAGTATCAAACTGACGTCGAAACAGAATTCCATCAACCACAGGACGAGAAAATATAAGATTGCGGGCCGCGTCTGACCCTTGGCAATGATGTTTGCAGGGAGCATCTTTGAGTACCTTGTTGATTGAGGCTTTTGGTCAGCATTGGCAATCTGTCGTGCTAAGCGAGGAGATGAAGCCTTGAGTTGAGAAGTCTTGGTGAAGGAAACATGGGAGCTGTCATCGTGGTTGTGGTTCATGGCATGACAGATGCCCCCCTCATGGTTTGCCGTGCAAGCCGTAGGATGTTTCAGTCAGGCCATTTTCATCCACTCTGAGCAGGCTTGCGTCAGAGGAACAATGAGACGAGAAACTAGAAACCGATGCGTTTATCCAAACATCAAACAGGAAACATTTCATCGTCTGTAAACGGTGTCGCTGCAGTGCTGAACTTGAGCTTGTGATACGAGAACGAGCGTTCCTAACCGGATGCCTCTGAGAGAATGAGTCGTTGGCGGCAATGCTGCGGGGCATTGAGTGGCTACGAAGCGCTGTAAGTGTTCAAGTGCCCACATTCTTGCAGCAGGTCTGGCCGTTGACAGCCAGTCCACGCACCCCTGAAGAGTTGAACAGAAAACTTGGAGTTTCCCATTCGCCATTCCAAAAGGGGGCTCGGGTGGTCCCCTGAGCAAGGGCCAGCCAGGGCCAGCAAGTGGCTGGTTTCAGAAGCATTGAGTTACAAGGATCTGCCAACACGCAGCCACTAAGTAATGTTCCTCTTCCGCCGGAGGCCTAATTCTGAGATCTGCTAGTGACATCTCTCACCCAATTGGCTATATCTTGCGAAGCCACGCCGTTGCTGGGAGTGCCCCTGCCGTGCTGCAGCTGATGAAGGCTTTTTAAAGTCGGGTGCTAAAGTTCCTAGGCACTCGTGTAAGATGCGCTGTAACGCTCGTGGTTCGTTGTGCCATGAATCTTGTAGCTCATGTATTGCAAGACATCGGAAGACGTAGTGTAGTGCGCGGTCCAACCAGATCGATATGGATTGAATTCTCGGCTTTACGGCTCACAGCTGGAAACAGCACGCCCTGCAGGGGTCCCAGTTATATCCATCCATCCAGACTCTGCGGTGCCGAGCCTAGAAGTCTGCTGTTGTCTGTGAGGGGCTCCTTGTGATAGAGACGAACAGGGAGGGAGGATCCTCTGCCATGCCCTGCTGTGCGAGTAAATTCCTTCAGCGCCAAGACGAGTAGTACACAGCCTTTTCGGCCAAGTTTGGATGCTGATTGCCCACAGTATCTGGGATGACAAGTCAAGTAAGGGACTAGGTAACTTGAGCTGGGGGGACCCGTTTACAATACATATTATCACAACGTCCGCTCCGCTGGGCTTCGTGTATTGCCTCTTCATTCCTCTTGGTCTTTGCTTCGTGCCGTTTACGGTGGTTTGTTCCCTGTTTTATTTTTATCTTTTTCTTCTTTCGTCCTCTGGACCATTGAAACATTCTTCGCTGAGGCTGGCCACTCTCTACGTCGATCCGCCTGATAACACTGCTTTCGTCACTGTCGACCACTGTTCACCGGTTCTCGCCCTCGTGTTTGTCTCTGCTTGGGGTTTCGGGTCTCAGAACAGGTTGAAACATTGAAAAACAACCGTTTCCCGCTTGGCTTCGATTGTCATTGTTTCCTTCGGTCGATCATTCATTATTTGGGTATTGTCTTGTGTGCTGCGACAAAGCGCCTCAATTCCTGCCTCATTTATTCCATTCACTACTTACCTACCTTTACCTTGTCATTCTTCATACTCGCCCAAACGTCAACGTCGATCGTCTTAAACGCCTGCCTTTATCGATTGGCCTGTGTCTCAATTCGCCCTTGCCCTTCCTTTCCTTACACGCGGCAATTGACGTTGACCCGTTCTTTACCGCTGATCCAAATCCGCCCAAAGTTGGAGATCGTCAGCCTGGCCTGCTTTCTCTCCAACTGCAACTGAGAACATCACAAGACGACTTGGACTTTCTACGTCATTGAGAACTGCCCTGTAGCGACCAAGTCAGCCTGATTCTCCGCGGATTGTTTATTGTTCTTTGCTGCCCTTGCCGCTCTTTGCCTTTGTGCTGCGTTACATTGTGTGTTGAACACACCCTCACCAGCACCAAACACTCCCAAGTCACCACTGAACATCTCGCTCGCCGATCACGATTTATCGACACAAGCGCCAAGTCAATCATTTGTTTACCATCATGTTCTGACACCAAACAGCGAACACAAGGAGGAACAGCATACACTTACTTTCTTTAAAACCACCACTGACCTCTTGACTCTGATTCGGGGACCTTTTGTTCGTCGCACAATTATACTGTCCTTCATTGATTCACAGCGAACTGCGAGCCCTCCCTCTTCATTCGTCTGAAGACCTCGGATAAAAAGAAACCGACTCTCATTTACTACTACACTTGCTCCCAGAGAGCAACTACTTAACAAGATGGATTTCACGCGGCGCAGGATCGCCGATATCAGCTCATACATACCAACATCAACCCTCAAATCTCGTGGTGAAGCCGCTCCTGCAGATGCTGAGGCAACTCCAAACTATCACTCAAATCTCGATGGTGTAAATCAACCCATGAATTTACTTTTTAAAGATGCCTTGTGGTGGACCTTGGGTATCATGGCCCTTGTTGTTCTGTCCATCAGAATAATTGAAATCCTGTGGATGAGACTCCGCCAGGTGTCTGCCATGAATGTGTCGGGTTCCAAACAAGCGTACTGGAGAATATCTCAATGGAGCTGGATGCCCAACGTCAAGAAGAACCTCATATACGCTCCTCTGTGGAACAAACGTCACAACAGAGAGTTCAAGTTATCCTCTGCTATCAGCATGGGAACCCTTCCTTCGCGACTTCACTTCATCATCCTCTTCATCTACCTGGGCAGCAACTTGGCCTATATGTTCGTCCTCAACTGGCACAATGAGAACAAGCTTGCTTTCTGTGCCGAGTTACGAGGCCGCTCAGGAACCTTGGCCCTGGTCAATATGGTGCCCTTGATCATTTTCGCTGGGCGCAACAACCTCCTCATTGGCCTCCTCAAGATCAGCTTCGACACCTACAATCTTCTACATCGATGGATGGGTCGCATTGTGGTCCTCGAGTCTATCATCCACACTATCGCCTGGCTCATTGTCGCCGTCGACGACTTGGGTTGGGATGGTGTTGGCCATAAACTTTCCCATGGACTTTTTGAAGGCTCGGGAGCCGTTGGCACGGTTGCTATGACCTTCCTCCTTCTACTTTCTGTTTCGCCTTTGCGTCATGCCTTTTACGAAACTTTCCTCAGCGTTCACATTGTCCTAGCCTTCGTTGCCTTCGTTGCTACATGGATTCACTGTGCTTCGTCTGCACTCAAAGGTGGCCTACCTCAACTTCCCTGGATCATGGCCATCATGGCCATCTGGTTCGCCGACCGCCTCGCTCGTATGCTCCGGATTGTCTTTGTCAACTGGTCTTCCAAGGGGTGGACTGATGCGGTGTGCGAGGCTATGCCCGGCAACGTCACTCGAGTCACCCTCCACTTACCTCGATATGTCGATATCAAGCCTGGCACTCACGCGTACCTGCGCTTTTGGGGTCTTTGTGCCTGGGAGAGCCATCCTTTCTCTATCTGCTGGGTCAATCATGTACGCGATAACAGCTTACCAATTGCGGAAAAGGATCCTCTCCATGCAGTCGACAAGTCAACCATGACCACTACAGTCTCTTTCCTGATTGGTGCCCAGACAGGTTTCACTAAGAAGCTCTTTGACCGTGCCTCCAGATGCCCGCGAGGTCTCCGTATCAAGGCTGCAATGGAAGGCCCATACGCCGGACATAACAGCCTTGATTCATATGGCCATGCAGTCCTCTTTGCCGGCTCCACTGGAATTACTCACCAAATCTCCTACATCCGCCATCTCCTCGAAGGATACAACCAGGGCACTACTGCTGCTCGACGCATTACACTTGTCTGGATTATCCGCGAATACGAATCTCTCGAGTGGGTGCGGCCCTACATGGATACAATTCTTCGTATTCCAAATCGAAAAGACATCCTCCGCATCCAGATCTTCGTCACCCGTCCTCAGAACCCACGCGATATTGTCAGTGCTAGCGCCACGGTGCGCATGTTCCCGGGACGGCCAAACGTTCCCCTGATCTTGGCCCGAGAGGTGCAAGAGCAGATGGGTGCCATGTGCGTCACAGTTTGTGGCCCCGGTGCTCTTGCTGATGATGTTCGGGGTGCTGCTCGAGCAGTGCAGGGCTCAACCGTGGTGGACTTTGTGGAAGAAAGCTTTACGTGGTGAACTGCTACGAGAGTGGTGGAAGTAATCGAGAGGGAGGTTTCCGTTCGAACTGTACATACTTACGGCAAGTGGGGGTTATCTTATGGAGGGAGGTTGATATCATGGACAATCATAGCGTAAAAGCGTTTCCATAAAGCGGTCGTATTATTAGAGATCTTAAGAGAACTATTACTGGAACGAACCACATTTTTGTTTTTATTAGTGACATGTTTAACTATAATCCAGGTACTTATTACCATACCCGGTCCCTTCATTGATGAGGCTCAGGCAAAACCTGGCACGTTTGAGTTCCACCCAATCAAGATTCAGTTGTCAGATCCAAAGTCCAAGGATGGTAGGTAGGTATGTGCCTTACCTGTGGAGACCCTTCCCTGCCTGCCCCGCAAACTTCTTTTCTCAGGGCAGGTGGGGCTCAAGGTTAATTGAAAGAAGTACGTACCTACCTCACGTCGCGTTTACCTCCTCAGGACGCGATTGTGCCACAACTCAACCTTTTAACTTTAACAAAACGCTAAGGTTACAAGTTCTCAACGGATACAAGAGCATACATAACTTGATTAGATTCTAAGTTAGGTAATGCCTACATTTAAACGACTCATCCTATCGCACGAATGCCTACTCGAACACATAATTCCCCGTCGCATTCGCGATCATCATCGCCGGCCTCAAGAGCCACCCCGGCGCATCGAAATTTAGCGGTCAGAGAACGGGATTCAAGTCGCTCCGCATCTGGAGCCAAGAGGAAGAGAACGGACACAAGAAACGGAGAACCCGCGAGCCATCGAAGACGGACCGTTGAACCTACAGCGGGCAGCGAAGACGAGGAGGAAGACGAGGATGTCTACGACCCTGACCAGCCACTGGAGGAGCGCCGCAGAGTCCAGCAGGGCTTCAGAGATTTACTTCGCGATGTGACGGAGAACACCGAGGAATACTTACAAGGGGACTCGCGAGGGCTTCATGAGGCCATTCTCCGCGCTGATGAACTATCGAAGAAAGTGAGGCAGACTACAGAAGCAACAATCGACTCACGGCTACTCGTTAGCACTACCGACTTATCTTACCGAAAGACTTTGAGACTCACACAAGGCAGCCTCTCTCAAGGTATCGATGTTGATGAGTTTGTTTCAAAATGCATCACATATATGAGACATGGTCGAGGAATTATGGACGATAATGCACCCGAGCTCTCGAGCACCCAACGCCAAAGAAGAAGGACCACAAGGGGGGATGAAGATGGCGAGGACGACATCGGGGACGAGGGCGATATGATGAATTGGCCGCATCTTGGCCGTTTTGCCAGCTTGCCTTACATCAGGCGTCCCGCCCTCCCCGGGTTCCTCCTTGGACCTCTGTCGGTCGAGAAGAAGGCTCGCAAGATCACAAAGAGAAGTGCACCCTTCAGACCTAACAACCTGACTGAGACGCGCCCTGAAGTGCTCAATGTCGAGGATCTGGCCAAGAAGGAGAACGATCTCACCGCGATTTGCGGCAAGATTCTTCATCAATTACAAGCTCTCCAGGCGAACATTCAAGGAACTGTGGCGGACCTGATTGACGAGAATATGGACGAGGAGGAACAGAACAGGATTATGCATCAATATGGTCTTCGGAGCACCGGTGGCATTGACTTGATGCGATTCGTTGTGAATCCAAAATCCTTCGGCCAAACCATCGAGAACATGTTCTACGTCAGCTTCCTTGTCAGAGACGGCAGAGTGAAGATCGATTTTGATGAATTCGATTTACCAGCGCTTGGTTAGTTAATCATGGCCGGGACGTCTGAAACTCGCTAACTCGATGTTTAGAAATCATAGAGAGAGATGTCGAGGGAGAGGAAGAAGAGCCGACACGACACGGGGCAGCGAAGCACCAAGCAATTCTTTCCATGGACATGGAGACCTGGCAGGACATTATTGACACATTCGACCTCAAAGAGCCCATGATTGCTCACAGAAAGGAGGTGACGACTTCGGGACCTGGTGCGCGAGGTTGGTATAGCTGAGTGGGAAAGGGGAAGCATGAACAATCATGCCGAGTCTTTCAGTTCCATGATTCATTGTCTTGAAACACACGGGATAACCTTGCTTGCATGTGAGATACCTATCAGGCAGTGGTTCGGAGATGGCCAATATGGTGTTGTGCACAGGCCCTTAGCAAACAAACTGTTTTCTTTGTTCTTGCTCTCCCCTGACCTCTGTTGTCGGGACAGTAATGAAGAGATGCTCAGTTGGCGGCGATGACTCTTTGTGTAAGACTGCTTGCTCACGATAAAAGGTCTGCGCCCGTTTTATTTCTGACACATTGCCAACAGTGTCAAAGAGAAGCGTCCGATCCAAATAATCTGAATCGACAAAGGCATCCACGCAGCTGCAAGCCGCTTGTTTAATCTCTTCATAACTACCTCCTACTCATCGTGTCTCTTGGTCGAGTACTAGCGACTGTTTCGATAATCCTTTTCACATTGTTGCATGGCAAAACTAGTTGCTTTTGTCACATTAACCCGGGAGTCGTGCAGCAAATTTCTCACAGCTCCAAATTCAAATCCACCTTTGTTTAAGTACCCAGTCAGTCAAGATGTCAGTTACTGATCCCTTCGTCGAATTTGAAAAGAACCTCGAGGATCGAATTACTGAAACAGCCGCGGAATGGGATCGTGAGAAGGACAGCCTTACGTCAAGTCTAGAACAATTTTACGAAGAAAAATGTCTGAAAGAGCCTTCCAAATTTCCAAAGAAGGCCATCCAAGTCATGCAAGATTTTAAAAAGAAGGCACTTGAATCGCTCCAAGACCTGCTCGAATGTGTCTGTACCACACAACAGAGCCAGGACAAGGAGACCAAGCGCCAACTCAAAGTTCTGGTATCTATTTTGAAGGAACAATTTCAGACGTACACGTCACGAAGCGACCAAGAAGAGCGTAATTTACGACATCGGTTGCTCGGGATGGAGAGGAACAGGCCCCCTAATCCTGCATCAAACCTTGAGCAGAAGCCAGAAAAGCCCGTACCAAAACGTCGAACTTCCATGTACAAACGCGTTGGCAGTGCTGGGAAGGCTTTCGAGCGTGCCAAAGTTGCTGAGAGGATCATAGGTAGCCAACAGGCCAATTGGCAGCCAAGACGCTCTCGCCATTCTCGTCAGAGACAGAATGCTATACGTATGGAAAAGACCTTAAGAGGTCTAAACGAGAACTCAGCTATTTCTGGGCTGTACAACCGATCGCAAACTTATGGTAATCCGAAAGGACCGGCTCGTCGCACCTCCATGACGGCCTCTAGACCACCCACAGCGACCCGGCCCAAGAGGCGGTACACAGGAAGATCTCTATGGCAGGAACTCAATGATTCCGAGTTGCATAGTGACGAGCCTGACGATGCTCTTGACAAGATACTCGCCAAACCTCCTTTTAAGCAGGAGGCTGTCGCTGCTCAGGGTTATAGGCATCCTCGCATAGGTGAGGGACTCCTTATAGACGACGCATTTGCTCTTGGGCAGCAACTCAATGAAGAGTTCAGTACCACATCCTCTCTGGCTGATGCTGAAGACTCGGATAGTGAGGATACCGAAGTCGAAGAAATGGCCGAAGAGGGAAAAGAGCAACAGAAGAGGGGTCTTCAAGGCACCATCATGCCTTCACCCAACAGGTGGCAGAGTAGTCTGAAGGAGGAGAATACTCCACAGAAGGACAGCGATGATGAGAAGGAGGCTGTCTCTGAAGACAAGAAAGGAGATGGCCCTGCTAAAGACATGTCGAGCAACGGCACTGGTGAATGCTCAAACATACCGGAAGCATCCCAAGAGGCGAACACGCCAGCACCAGGGAACAGCGATGGCGGCGATGATCCGGATCCAGATCCTACTGAAGGGGCTTCCGCTGATATTGCCCTTTCACAATCATCCACAAAGACTTCTGGTAGCTTCCAATCCTTGAAAAAGTGGTCTCGGGTCTTGATATTGCTGGTGAGGAAGTTTATACTTGAACAGGTCTGGGCTTGGTGTCTTGCCTTTGCGTTTGTCTATCGACTTATCTCCTGGTTTTTTCGCCGTCTCGTCAGGCGTAGGACCGTGGATAACGACGGCAAAGCGCTGAAATTCCCCACCCCACCTCCGTATGTGGAGGTGGTCGCTTTCAACATTCTTTTCTTCCTGTATGTTCTTGGCTGGTGGTTAGATGTACGCCAGGAAAGAGACCTGTGGGAAATTGCCAACGGCCAGACGAGGGATCATATGTTGACGTACATGGCGACACAACCGTCGTGGACATTAACTTTGATGTCTTATTATACAAGCTCTTTAGGGTATATCTTGGGGCTTCCGGGGGTATTGCTATCCTGGACGTTGGCCGTTATGAGTGTTGTTTGGCAACTTCTGACTTCGTTTGTAACTCCATCATGGGCTTGTTTCACAGATGTCGTTGAAAGTGCAGTCTTGGTAATCAAGACATACAAACCGACAGGTGGCTGATGGAAATGATAGTGGGTGGGGGTTCCGGGATTATTGTTTTTCTTTTCTTCTTCTTTTTTTCTTGTTAACAGTCGCTTTCGAAGATATATATATATAATATAGATATGTGTGTATGTGTGTGTGTTAGTTTTGCTTGGTGTTGTTCTCTTGGTCTGGATTGTAGAGTCCAAGCTGTCTATACTCCGAAACAGAACGGAGTACAATATCATATTCGGTATTGAGTTATCTTTCATGTCCAAAATATCCGAAACCGACGAGCTTCCAGATAATTCAGCTGAATTCGTTCATTTGACCAGAAAAGTATACACGTACCGAAGAGTCCTTATTGAGCCGAGGTTGAACTCTTGTATCGGGCTCTCGGGGTGAAGTAACGTGCCGGATGGATCAAGCTACCTACAAAACGTTGAAAAGATATTTGGAATCAATCAATTGTCCTATTTGCCAGGGAACGTTTAAGTTACCAGGTACATGGTAGATAAGAGAACTGATTAGTACTTTGCGCTGCATCCCAGCCTAAGAGAGCGTATGAGTTAGTGAGTCTACGGTATTTCAAATGCCTACAGCACCAACAACACTCACATGCTGGTCCGTTGTAGTTATCCACTATTGACGCTTGAGTTAGCAGTCCCGATTTCCAGGGTCTCGGGCCAACACAGCCAGAGTCGGCCGATTGATTGTTAGTGGGATCGGAATGTTGATGTCATTGAAGAAATGCAAAGACGAATGAATTCTAGGTTCTAAGGTATCCTCAACTGGAGTATCCGTAGGCATTACCAATTCAAGTTCGCGTTCAAGGCTCCGCCTCGACATTGGATGACAATTAATTAATTAATTAATTAGTTAATTAATTTCCTTGCTCGTCATGATACGTCCGACGTCTCGAATTCAATACTTAAACATCAACACATCCAGATCATTCCAGCACCAACAAAGATTCTTTCTATTTTCACGTGCCTTTAATAAACAGACTCCAACGCACGACTCCAACGTCATTCGTCTTCAACGTCATATTGCAACATCATCAATCAACAGACCCAAACTCACAACCTCTCTCACTCTACCAGCACAGAATCACAACCTCAGCACACAATCAGAAATCTCCAACTCTGCAGAAATGTCGTCCAAACTCATCCCTTCAGACCCTGATCATGTCATGGTCATTCGAAATGTCACCCCCAACATTGCCACTTTCTCAGTCCCCTTTTCACGATTTGGAAAGGTCAAGATCGGTGGCCGAGGCACTCTAGGTATGCTCTCCTACCTACCTACCTACTCATACAAAGTAACTTGAGCGCAATACTGACCTCCAATAGTCAAACTCACCTCTGGAGGCCTTGCCATCTTCTCACCAGTCGCACTCACCAAAGCCACCCAAGCCAAAGTCGTGGAGATGGGAGGCGACGTCCGCTATATCGTTGCTCTGGACTATGAGCACCATATCTTCATTTCTGAGTGGAAAAACGAGTACCCTTCAGCCAAGATCATCGGCCCAGAGGGTCTGCCAGAAAAGCGAGCCAAGCAGACCGACGATCCTAAGATCAACGATGATGAGTTTGCTGTTGTCTTCAAGAAGGAAAACAAGCGGGAAATCAAGATTGACCCCGACTTCGATGCCGACTTTGACTATGAATACGTCGACGGCCACGCCAACCTTGAGATTGTCTTCTTCTACAAGCCTGAGCAAGTCCTGATCCAGGCTGATCTTCTCTTTAACCTACCCCCCACCGAGCAGTACAGTAAAGTGCCCGAATCCGAATTGCCCGCCGATGGAGCTGTTGGCAAGCTTTTCGCATGCGTTCAGAACCCCCGTGGTGATACCAAGTGGTTACAGAGATTCAACTGGTATCTCCTCGCCAAGAACCGTGAAAGTTTCAACGACAGCATGGCGCAGATCGCCAAGTGGGACTTTCATACCATGGTCCCTTGCCATGGAGATGTTCTGGAGGGAGACGGAAAGGAGGTGTTTATGAAGGTGTTTGACTGGCATCTCCAGGGACACAAATAGACGTAAAGGATGATGAGGTGATGAGGATGATGATGTACGAACAGAGCATAGAGGAGGAGATGAGGAGTGATGTACAAACATTTGTAGTAATTTGTGATCATACCGTATATATGTACGAGAAACTCTTTTAATAGACCGACCAGTCTGATGGTCTTCCAATAATGTAACACCATACAATCTCATGATTATAATACCATCATGTACTGACTGGCCTCAGGAGATTATAGTGATTTGAAATTTGAGAATTTGACTAATCATTGGGTAGTTATAACCCTATTTTGAATCCGAAACGCCAGTATTGCAACAGTCATTCATGCATTTACTTTTGCCCTTGTCCAGTGTACGCCTTTTAACGCCTTCGCTTCTATCCGTCGCGATTTCATCGGACATGAACTCTCGGTTGCGCGAAGACTCTGCAGCAGAAATAGCCGACTGCTTCCTCACTCTTTATAAATGTGTAGCCTCGGGAGCAGCTGATGGTTGTGTCGATTGCTTCCTTGACGGAGGCTCGGGCTCCATCTCTACAAATCCAAACACAGGATGTTCGGCACTGATTAATTCACCTCCTTTGTGAACGTAGTCGCTGAGTTTCCCGAGTATAACAAACTCAACCTTGAGTTTCACCGAGTAGGTCACTGCCTTGATGCCCTGTTGCCACAGGAAATTGTTGGTAAAGCTAACGGCGAGGAGCGTAACATCGACTAGCACGATTCCCACATTAATAGCAAACAGGTGCCAGATTATTCGAGGAGTCTGGTTTTCAGTTTCTCTTCTCCTGATGATCTCCATCATTTTCCAAATGTAAAGACCTGAAAGTAAGAAATCTTGAGCACAAAAGAATGCCAGCTGAGCCTTTTGAACCTTGATGAATGCGCCGTTGCGGTCGAGCTTTTGCTGCGTGCCGATAGCAAACAAAAGACCAGTAACTGTGCTATGTCATATAAGAGCATTAAGGATAATCACCCATTTCGTAACCTTCAAAATGGTGATGCTTTTGACGAGCAAGTTGAGTCGAGAATATAGAACGAGAGCTTGGCCGGTAGTCAGGAGTATCCAGCCAATGTTGTTGATGAGCATGTTGGTAACATCCCCTATAACATCGAAATAGCGGACCAGCCAGCCACTCGCATACGGCAGCACACCAATGGAAGCCACAGCAAGGCTCCAGGAGAAGAGGTCGTTATGCCGCCTGGATGATGTCAAGATAAGGAGAAGCAGCTCGATGCCATTGTACAGCGAAATAGTGGCACAGGTCTATCAGGCGTGTTAAATCGAGTACTCGAATATCGAATTCGACAGGGGCCGTACTATGACTATCATAGCCTCTGGGGTATATCTTCCCGAAGACGTAAACTTGGAGGCGGCATCGGTGCGTCTCGAAAGAGACATGTTGGCCTTCTTTGGGAGGGCCAAGGTCGTGACATGAGTCGAAGCAGCAGAGAGCAATGCTCTAGGGAGAGAGAGAGCATCGAGTCCGAGAATTGAAGGTTGTTGAGATTACTATAGGTCGTTATGACGCCTCAAAAGGCCGCACGTGATAGGTCCTCTAAGACCTTAGGCCTACTCCGTATAGGTGAAGGAGGTTCAGATGCTGTGGCTTGCTAGGCCAGGGATAGGAAATGCCTAAAGTTTTTTGATTGATTGGGATGATGGTGTGGCTTCTAGGTTTGGGCCATGCGCTTTGAAGATTGGGATGCGCCTAGCTATGCAGTATCCATGTCCGCTATGAGGTAGGACCGCGGATCGGGATATAAGTGCCGCAGAGGGTAGCTACATATAATACCTACTTATCTTATGTATGTACGCAGTATGAAATGAACCAATGCTTGGGACTGGTCCATTAGTCTGGGCGGGAAGTATAAGAAAGTCTGGGGTCATTAGGCATCGAGAACTGCCACTGTCATTGCCAGGTCTGTGTTTGAATACCTTCACAAGGTACCTTAGGTATCCAGGGGCACTTGTAAGAAGCTCGACTAGCAATGTTACGTAGCATATTGGCTGATTTTCGGGAATTGAATCTTTGACACATGCCGATGTTTGGTTGATGAAAATACGAGAGAACATTGGCGGATGTAGTTACACTGTACAGTATCCCATCAACAGGCTGGGAAGTGAGCAGCCAAACAAAAAGTAAAAAAGTATCAATCCCCAGTCCGGGAGTAGAGGTTCGATGATGCGGTAACAGCGGCTGATCAAGGAACTAGGTACTATACATACCTAAGATAGCCACAAGAGGAAATTCATAGACAAGCCAATCAAAGGCTTGGTTGGGGCCTCAGCCAATGATTAATTTGGAAAGTGCGTGAATAAGAAGAAACATTCCTGTTTCCTTCAATTGCTAATCGAGCGAGGAGGTCAATGAATCTTGGCTTTGAATACCTTATTAGCTTAGTATAGTAGCCAAAGTGATGTCTGTGGAGACTGTGCTACCTATGGATGGAACCTGAGCTGAGGAGCTGAGCCGGTCTTTATGACTGGGGCCATGTGACTGGATTGATTGAATCTTCTCCACAGTGATCAAGCTGCGGGAGCTGAGCTGAGCTGTGAACGTCACTTTGCCTTATCTTATCGCACGTACCAGCCACTACTAAGGTACTGTACCATCAACCTGCCTAAGGTACCTACCTTACCTACCTGTATTCACAACGCAACTCCAAACCTCCAACACTAACAATAGCTCTCATTCTCTGCGCGTATTCCCACCTCTCTTCTATTTACACAGCATGACATAGCCTATCATGTCTGAGTACGGGCGTATGGACCCGTTCTCCTTTGCGGCTTCCAAGGACGTCCATCATCCTGTGAACGTTCGCATGTAATGCCCCTCGAACCCTCCATCATGGGAACACTGAAGTTGACCTTTAGCAGTATGAACCTCGAGGGTGACGAACCGCCCTTCAAACACTCCACTCTTCTCGAGCGCCCCGACTTGCGCCACGTTGGGTCCAACCTTGGGTGCGCGACATCGCTTACTATCCTAACTTTTGCGAAACACTAACAAGAGCTGCTAGCCCGTACTCTGACCTTTATGTCACAGTACAGATCTGGGCTGGATCAAAACCCTTGACTGTCCCTGTTCAGACCGCTTATAAACCTTTTCGATCCGAGCGAAAGTACGATACCCCTCGACTGTGATGGCATACGTATTGACCAAGTTAGATGGAATGAGTGGCTACAGTTGCCTATCACATACGACTCCTTACCAGCGAACTCATGCTTGGCTATAACAGTGTGGGACCTATCACCGACTGGCGGCAAAGAGGCCATAGGCCATGCCATTCCGTTTGGCGGCACGACACTGCCCATGTTTGATGAGGACAATCAAGTACAGAAAGGACGACAAAAGTGTCTTGTCCACCGACACAAGAATGCAGACGGCACCGACAACTCAACAACGCCCGCGTTGGTTTCGACAAAGAAGAAAACATCGCGAAAAGGTGAAGTCCCTCCACTAGATAAGGATGCAGAAGAGTTAGAACGGATGGAGACCTTGTTCAAGAAACACGAGATGGGCGAGATTCCTCGGGTTGACTGGCTGGATCAGATGGTCTTTCGAAGCTTTGAGAAACGAGGCCTGCAAGCTGCCAAATCGTCAATGAAAATGCTCCAGAGGCAACGAGCTATCAACGGTGAGAATGATCCGGACAATCGAGATGGTGAAAACAAGGATGGTCGCCCTGGACAGTCGACATTCTTACTGAACGTGGAGTTGCCACGTTTCGATTTCCCCGTTGTCTTCGCTGACCACGAATACGATCCGCCCCCGATTTCAGCTTTCCAGAATCTTTCGGTTTCGCAGGCAAGCATCGCAAATCGTCAGCCGGAGGTTCATTACGGCCCAGGTATCAATGCCGTGGGCGAGAGTTCTTCGGCACCTGGTAGGCGGCTCATCAAAGTCTACGACCCTGAGGTTGGACACAGAGACAACCCTGCAGAGGCCAAGCATCGAAGACTATTCAGAAGCTCGTATCGGCACGGCATCATTGATAAGAACTTGAAGCCGAATGCAAAGGTTCGAGATGAGCTCAATCTCATCATGTCGTATTCTCCAACTCATGTCCTCACCCCAGAGGAGGCAGATCTGGTATGGAAATTCCGGTACCACTTGACACGAGACAAGAGAGCGTTGACAAAGTTTGTCAAATCTGTCAACTGGAGAGACCAGGGTGAGGCGAGGCAAGCTATTCAAGTTCTCGGGCGCTGGACTGCAATCGATGTTGACGATGCGCTGGAGCTTCTCGGGCCATCTTTCGACAACTCTGCTGTGCGTTCGTATGCCGTAGACAGATTACGAAAAGCCGACGACAAGGAACTTCTGCTTTATCTTCTTCAACTTGTCCAAGCGCTCAAGTATGAGCACATATCAGCAGATTCAGAGGAGGAAAGCAGTCAAGATTCATCTCTGGCCCGTTTCCTGATCCAGCGTGCGGCTTCCAACTTTTTGCTCGGTAACTATTTCCACTGGTATCTTATGGTTGAGTGTGACGATGCCAGCCCCGAGCAAGGTCTTGATAATCGCAACATCTACCGCAAGGTCGCATACGACTTCATGGCCGAGCTTGTCAAACAGCCAGATGGTCAGGAAACGCGCAAGACTCTGTTACGTCAAGCAGAGTTAGTTGCTATTCTTTCGAGAATCGCTCAAGAGGTCAAAACCTCGAATGAATCCATTCCGAAGAAGGTCGACCGAGTCAAGCACTTTCTGGCTGATCCCAAAAACGAGTTGTTATCATTCGATCCGCCCTTGCCGATGCCGCTTGATCCTTCAGTACTGATTACAAGCATCATACCAGACCAAACAGTTGTGTTCAAGTCTTCACTAAACCCGTTCAAGTGCACCTTCAAGACAACAATGGGGAGCTCCTATGCGATTATCTTCAAGCTGGGCGATGATCTTAGACAAGATCAGCTTGTTATCCAGATCATCACTCTGATGGATCAACTGCTGCAGAAAGAGAACCTTGACCTCAAGCTGTCGCCCTACAAGATCCTGGCGACAAGTACTTCTGCCGGTGCTTCGCAGTTTGTACAATCCCAAAGCTTGTCAAGTATTGCTAACAAGTTCAAAAACAACCCAGCTTTGGCCTACCTCAAGATTAACAATCCGGATGACAATCAGCCACTTGGCGTCCGACAAGAAACGCTGGACACATACGTAAGATCTTGCGCAGGGTACTGTGTCATCACTTATATCCTAGGTGTTGGCGATCGTCACCTGGAGAACTTGCTTCTTGCACCTGACGGTCACTTCTTCCATGCCGACTTCGGCTACATTCTTGGCAGAGATCCCAAGCCTTTTGCGCCTCTGATGAAGCTGTCCAAGGAGATGGTTGATTGCATGGGCGGCGTGAACTCAGAGCATTACAAGCAGTTCAAGCAGTACTGCTTCCTTGCGTTTACGGCACTACGCAAAAACTCAAATCTTATTCTCAATCTCTTTAGTCTCATGGTAGATGCCAACATCCCTGATATCCGACTTGAGCCTGATAAGGCAGTGCTTAAGGTCCGAGACCGTTTCCACTTGGAGTTGAGTGAAGAAGAGGCATTGAGTCACTTTGACCGGATCATTGAGGAAGCTCAGACATCTTATGCCCCTGTTGTCATTGACAAGTTGCATGAGTGGGCACAGGCTTTCAGGGCATAGAATGATTGGCAATGACGCAAGCAGTAGGAGTTGGGGCGTTTATACAATATATATTAGCTTTTGCTAGGCAATAAACCAGGTCTTGATATTTGAGATGCTATTGTTTGCATTTGTCATGCATTTCGTTGAGGACTCGGGTCTGTATACCCGTCGGACCATTTTTTAAGGAGTGGTTACTTATCACACTCTACAGAGGCCTGGTTCACCTGTTTATGATGGAACAACCAGCCCAGCCAATCACGATGTACATTATACTCTTATTCACATATTTCCATCCCGCCTATGTCTCGCCAAAAGTGAAGATGCCCTTGCCCTTACGGAATCCCTCAAGGCCCTGCTGTACGGCATTGCGCAGAGTCTCCTCCTCTGTCTCCCAGTCCCACTTGACCTCCTCGATAGGGACGTCGCGGAACTGGCCAGATCGAATGAGTTGTAGAATATCGTTGATGGCATGTCTCCTGCCGGTAGGATCCTCCTCATTGAGTCTGCTGAGCCAGAAACCAAGGAAACGAACATCCTTGAAGATAAGGAGAGCGAGGGGTAGTGAGACTGGCTGTTTAGCCATGCCACCATAAGAGACCATAGTAGCGCCTTTGCCGAGCGATCGAGCGATTGTGGTTGCTGACTTGCCACCAACACAGTTGAGACCTAGACCGATCTCCTCACGACCCTTGCGGGTGATTTCTGCTAGTTGATCCTTCCATTGAGAAGCTAGAAACTGAGTTTCGGTAACGACGACATCTGCGCCGAGGTCTTGGAGCTCCTTCTTCAAAGCGTTAGTCGCCCTGGGTGTTTCGCGATCGCGAATAACGTTGATGCTCCTTAAACCCCAGAGCTTTCCAAATTGGATGGCAGCTCGTCCAACACCAGAGTTGGCACCATTCTGAATAAACCATTGACCACTGCCAACTTCAAGGGGGCGCATACCCATACCAGCTTGAAGACCAGCACTGGGTCCATAGTGTCGCAGGATGCGGTAGGCGGTGCATGGGTTGACGCTCACGGTCGCGACTTGTGTAGGAGTCAAGCCCTCCTTATCGATCTTGATAAACTTATCGGCTTCAGCAATGGCATGTGTTCTCCAAGTACCGAACTGGCCGATGGCGGGGATGACCCAGTCGCCTTTCTGTAGTGAGGAGGAGGGTGAGCCTGTAGAGACAACCTCGAAAACACCTTCGTTACCGGGAATGGCGGAAGGTTCAGCGGTACCAATTAAGTTGGTGAAGGGAGGCATAGAGCCATAAACTCCCTGGACTGTGTTGACATCGGCGGGGTTGATGGGAGCGGCGAGAGTTCGGACGAGGACCGAATCCGAGGGAATAGAAGGGGAGACGGAGTGACCATGAAGCCTGAAGACAGTTGTCAGTCTTATCTAGGTACGGTGAGATATACAATAGACGTACTTGAGAACTTTGACTGGGTCTCCAGGCTTTGAGAAGACAAGAGCCTTAGCTTGTGTGTAGCCATAAGGACCCGACTTATATCGTGCGGCGATCATGGGAAGTCGGGTCATATATTGAGCACTGAGCTTAGCCGAGGGCCTTGCAAAGCCTGAGGAGGCGAGTGGCCTGAGGCGCAGACAGTGCGAGCTAGCCATTGCGATGAAGGTATCTACCAAGGTAGTTGATTAATTGTCGGACTGAAATAAAGAAAGAAATTGATTGCCTTTCCTCAATTGAGGTTGACGTTTGATTCAAGCTTGACGAAACAAGTTCAACCGAGCTCGGGTCAAAACGATTAAAGCTCTATGACGTTAAATGTTGACAAGCCAATTAGATTATGCGATTAAATGGGGTCGCATCCCCAGTCAGAGAAACAGAAATTCTGGACCTGGTGAAGATTCTGGAGGGTCCAAGTAGATTAATGAACGTGGGTGGGATGATGGATCCATTCCCGCGTTTGTGGAACGCGGGGGCCTTCCTAGATCGGGAGATGTCAACGAGACGGGTAACACAAGAGATAAGTTGGGAATAGCGTCAGAGTTTCTATAGCTTGAATAGGAAGGGAACGAGAATTGTCTGACTGCGCTAGTTTGGACGGTTCGTGAACGGTGAAGGGTGAGGTACTTGACGATACTTCCCCTATCATGACTCGCAATGGTGAGAAACGGCCCAAAGGGATTGGGACCTTTTCCTGCAAATGCTTGAGGTTGGTAGGGTTGGTCCGAGGACTTGGAACCTTGAGGGGAAAAACTGTAGATCACACAAACTTAGGTTGTTTCCCCTATGCACGATAAAGGGAGGATAGTCCGATCTTGAATCGCTCTAACAGAAAAAGGCAAGACAATCGTGCCGTGAGTGAAACATGTTTTAGTCTTTTGAGCGGGTTCCTGGTCTCCCGTGGAAACGCAATCCAGTCCAACCAAGGAGTCTTTCGGCTGCTCGAGTCGTCGTGTTGAATCTGCAAGTAGGTATGTACTTGTGAGGATAAGTATAGTCGATACGAGCTATTTGAAAGAGCAATCTCGGTAACAAGGCAGCTTGTGAATATGGTCAATGGTATAGCACTGTTGACAGATAACAGCTCGTCACTATCCGTAGGTAGGTAGGTAGGTACCTCAATTATCGACAAGGAACCGTTTGATATAGGCCCGGTTGAAACATGTTGGCGCCAACGTTTCCTCTCTCCGTCGAATGGGTGGTTCATCGAAGTCTTGACAACGTCTGTGGCGTTAGAAAAAGGGTGTTTTCTCGGAGTTGTAAGGGAGAAAGGAAAAGGGAGTAGTGAGTATGATGAATTGACTTTTGAATCTTGTAGGATCAACTCAATGGATCAATCGGTGCTTCTTTTTTTGAGTTTCCAATGTATCACGAACCTTGCTGCTTCGGAATAGTTCGCCATTTGGTGTCATTTTCTTCAATAGTCTCGGTCTGTCCCGTAGGTAGTCTTGAGTGATTGCATTAATGGTTTCCAAGATTGATGGCCAGTACTTTGACGGTACCTCCAAGTCTCGACAGCCGCACGCTGCAAGAGGGACCGCTATCCCCCAAATCGATTAGACCCATCACCATTTCTGGTAACGCGGGTACTGGCCAGCACTTTGCGTGCCCAAACCCGCCCAACTCGCGTGGCTCCAGCAGGGTCCATGGGACAGCGGGTTCGCTGCAGTCCGGGTCTCTCAGGGGCAAGGTCGGAAAAGGAAACACCTTTTGCGTGGCACTCGAACCTCCAAGTACTTCCAAAGTAGCTTTATTAGGTTCGCTGCCAGCCACGACATTCTCCACTTACATCAGGAAGGTCGTACTGTACCTCTCGTGGCTCTCTCCTCCAGCCTAAGACCCGGTCTTGCACCAATTCTTCTCCTCTGAACACATTCTCCTCCCTCTCCCCTCTCCTCTCTCCTCTCCATTCGATTTCTCCTCTCTTGTATCCTACAACATCTACGACCTCATAATATCTCTCTCTACATCAACCATTATCGCCTCAATTGCTCCCCACGTTTGGGATCATCGTCCTTGTTACCAAAAGCACGCCACGCCGCGTGTTGGATCCCTGCACCTTGCAGTCAACCACAAGCCACCAGACCCTTGCTCCAATTTTCCACCTCTACCTTACGCTACGCTACGCTACAGCACTGTGCTGTGCTGTGCTGTCTGCGTCTGTACCTTGCCTCGTTATTCTGCGGTACCTCTTCATCCGGTCAGGTCAAAGCCGTTGACTAGAACTCTCCTTTCTCTTCGCCCTGTTCTTGTGGGGAGTTTGAGACTCTGCTTCGTCATCTAAACCCGCTTGCTGGATCCCAGTCATCAATTACAGCTTCATTGAGAGTTTTGATTGCCATTCCAATTCTCTTGTTGAGCTCCTAGGCCCTCGCTTCGCCCAAGGTATCCTTCTTTTGCTGAATACCTTACCCCTTTCCGAATTCGGGCCCTCGCCATCGAGTCGACCTGCCTTCTTCCATTCTCCGTCCGATCCGCCTCGTATCGTATCGTGCACGAATCACCAATTCACTCATTTCCCCCATTATGTCGTCTCTTTTTGGCAAGAGCGGCGGAGGTTCGCGATTCCAGCTGCCCGCTCTCAACCTCAACTTTGGTAGTATCACAGACGGTACCAATATCCCACCGCCTCCGGAATCACCTGTTCAGAAGGTCCCAACTCCTCCACAGACACCGCCACCCGCCAAAGACGTCAAGGACGAATCCAAGAAGGAGCCAGGACAGGATACATACAGCAGTGTCACCGAGGACGTCAACAAGAACACCCCTCAGCCAAGCATTACTGCTTCTTCTAATGGTAATCTCGCTGGAACAAAACGCTACGCCGACGAGGATGCTCCTTTGAGCCCAGCTGCTTCAAGCCGCCAAGGCAGCATCCGTCGCCTATTCAGTAGAACCATGTTGAATAACACTTATGCAGAGGGCCAGATATCATCGAACGGAAGTGTCCCGGCCGCCGCCGCCGCCGCCGGTGGCCTTGCTCGGCCGAGTAGCCAGGGCGGTGCAAGCTACCTCGACGAGCGCAAGTCTAGGAGAACCAGCGGCTGGTTCAGACGCATGAGGACCGGAGAGACGATTCCCAACAAACGAGCCAGTACCATATTTATGGAGGAAGGTCCTCGTGCACCAACACCCAGGAAACAATCCGCCCCCCCGCCTCCCATGATACCTGAATTGACCGATCTTGAAAAGGACAACGGAAGCTTGGGTTCTGATCTTTTCAAGAACATCAAGTAGATCGACGTTTCATGCGACACCTAGAGCCAAATTCGCCTGCCGTGCTCGACTCGCCAATAATGGCTGGACAGCCACCCCGTTTTTCTTTTTCAACTATTTACATATTCAAGGACCGGAAATTGAGACAAGACAACACATTACACCTATTTTTTATTATTATCGATCGAGCCAAAGTAGCAGCAGCATCACAACATGGGCCAGTCCAACCATTTCTGAAAACGCGTCTCTTCTATCGTGACCGTTTTCTACGCAGCCAGGAGGATGATTTCAGCCCATGTCTTGGGGGAAAGGGTGTCTGCGGTGGAGCAGGGGAAATTGGAGGGAGAAGGAATCAAGAGCAGTGCAGTATGGTGAAGGCAGCTCATCAAGATACCCAACTCGTTTCGCGAGCTCACTTATCCGGTGTGCGAATTACGGATTTGTTTTTCTTCTTGTTTGGCATTGCTTTAGTTGTCTATGCAATGCGCTATGATACTACAATGCAGTCTATCATGGTCATCTTACGGGTTTCATGTCACTATTTGTCATTTATTACTTGCCACCATCACCTGAACGGCCCCTGCTACTACTACGCGGAGAATCATCTCAGATTATTATTATTTTGCGAGAGTTACAAGGCTATTTTCTTTTTCAAAATCTCTTGGGAGGTGACAGAAAGGAGCACGCTGCGGGTGCCCTTTTGGATTCTACACAACTATTTCTAAAAAAGGAACTTGTACAGATAGGTGATTCTGTTTTGAGAGAAAACAAGGAGAGCTTTGGAGACAACATGCCCAGATATTGGTCAAGGCTCCGTTACCAGAGGGAAGTCTCCCTCTTGTTATTGGATATGAGGCTTATGAAGAATTGAACCCCAGATCCTTACTGTTCACGGTCCTTGATCTGATCCATGCGCAGGGAATGCCACTGTATCTATAAATATTCTGTCGTGTGCGTATATGAGGCTGTACAGAGCTTTTTGTCAGATATCCATTCCATGCCCGTCCAACGATGTGACGGCAGTCTGAGCGACGAGGACTTCGGTGACACATCGTCCCTCATACATTCAAGCCCTCCCTTTTTAGCTTCGCATACAGAGCGTCTTTATAAGCATCATAACCAGGTACCATAACGCCTTCACCTGTTGGAACTGATGCATTGAAGAGTGGCACTACTCTCGTTGCTCCCTTGGTCACTTCGAGGATGGTACCGTTGCCATACTCTGGGTTGACGACAAGTTGCCACATGCCGCGAGCCACTTCTAGAGGATCTATCAGAACTGTATCATCGTCTAGCATGACTGCTTTGGTTGGGTCTTCATGCCACAGAGGAGTCTAGTGGTAGCCATGCATTAGCAGTCTTCAAAAGGCTCACAAAGACTTTGGCGAGCTTACCTCTACTGCGCCGGGAGCAATACAGCCGACTCGAATACCAAGTTCATCACGCAGTCCCCCCAAAGCTCTCACAAACCCATGCAAGCCATGCTTACTCGCAAAGTACAAGGGTGTTGCTATGCCAGCTAAGTAGCCTGCCATACTGCCAACATGTACAAGGCATCCCTTCTGCTTCGTCTTTGTCCAATGCCCGATAGCCAGTTGACTGAGCCGAATGGGAGATACCAAGTTCACATCCAAGACTGCATAGTGTCCAGGGTCCGCATTGGCATCATCTCGAGAGACACTATCCTCGTTGCTCTCAGTTTTCGGAGGTTCCCAGAAGGAGGACCATTGAGGCTCGAACAGACCGGCTCCTGGGACAACAACATCGACAGTTGTGAACTTTTCTAAAGCCTTCTTCCAAGAAGCCGTCAACTGTGGCCAAGATGTAACGTCGGTTTCTTGAAACAAGACCCCGGCTTTGCCATCGACGCCGGGGAACGGATATTGCTCCAGGAGTTGTTGAGCTTCGGGCCGCAATTTGAGATCGGCAATGAAGACCGAACATCCATTGCCTAGGAGCATACGGACAAAACACAAGTTGATACCTGTGCTTTGTGGTCAGTCAATATAATTCCTTGCAAGTCTACATATGTATTTGGCATGTGCACACCTGAGCCACCACCAGTGACAAGCGCGGATTTCCCCTGCACAGACGTTGACATATTGCTTTTGATTAGAAGTGTTTCACTTCAAGGTTGTTAAATTGTTGGTGATTCGATCGCCAGCGAGGGCCCAGTGACGCGAGTTGTATCTTTCAGGACTGTATGGTCCCTACTTCAACCGTTGTATGGATCAGCGTTGCAGTTGCTCACTAAACTGTTTTGAATAAGAGAGTTGATAGTAGAGAGAAGAGTGAACTGAAGTGCAGTTTATGCGGGGTAGTCTTATCATCGTATGAGAGGCACCACGTACCGGGGGACATGCATGGGCTGACGAATGAATCTACTGCGGAGTTGATATGGGTTTCATGCAAAGTCTAATCTTTATGTATCTGGATATGGGTATTCTGACCCCTGTTACTAGCAGCAATATGTTGTCTCACCTCCTCTCTGAAGCCTTCTCCTCATCTCCAGATCCTTGCACCTGCATCGTCTCTGAATCCGAATCCTCCGGTTTGCCCTCCCGACAAGCCCATCCATCCACTAATCGCAACGTCTCACGGCTCCACACGCGGTTCATGAGCGACAATCGGACGGGAACTAAAGCGATGATGATCAGAGGGAATGCAGGGGCCGCAACTGTCAGCGTCACCCCAAATACAATGCCTGTCATGATGATCTGTGTGATTGTGTACATGTGAATACCGGACCAGCTAACATTATCAGGGAGAGCAGGGAGATCAGATGGCGGCGTGAGTAAGTTTACAACTCTTTCCAGAATAGGGTTGACAGTTAGAGACTGGTAACCCATGAAGAGGAACAGACCAGCCAGCACTGATGTCTGTGTGAGACCCAGAAGCCTTTGCAATGGGGGGGACACAAAGACCAGAATAAGAGAAGCTTGAATGAAGTGAGAATATCTCTGCTCATATGTCCTTGCGACTGGCCGAGGCGAGCCTGGCTGCTCCCCTTCTTCGGCAGGAGGACTCTCAATGACATAATGCATCAACGATTCTGAGTGAAGCGGTGCTTGAGGCAACAGGCCGTTTGCAGGAGGAATACCAAGAATACCACAAAGGATGGTGGTGGTTCCTAAGAGGGCAACATCCCAAGCATACCCGCCTGGCTTTTTGGTTCCATATCGTTCCACGGTGCAGATAATGCTGCTGATTTCGTGGTCAAAGTAGAACAAGACGGTGACGATGGCGCCCGGGATCATGGACAAGAAGACCCATTCGATAGGTATCTCCCAGAAGCGAACAAAGAAAGTTGTTCTGTCTGGGTTTGTTGGTCGAAAGCTGGTTTGGACTTCGAGCCGTATATGATCTAATGATGCCAGTTCCCCGATATATGGAATTCCGATCCAGATGATGATGGAAATAGCAGCGGCATATTCTGTAAGTCCAAGTCGAACGTATCGATGGAGCATAGGCTTCCACGAGTTTGCTGTGGACAGCAAAATGGCCAGGAGACACGTTCCCACCGCTCCAAGAACAGCATATAGAAAGGCAGCAAGGGAGACTCGAGCGTGGGTTCGCTTCAGCTCCATTGCCGCCTTGTGGAAGTAGATGACACTGTTGAGGAGTGAGAAGATGTCGGCGCTGAAATGGGTGACATATTGCATGGTCCAGTCATGCGCGTTGAAGATGGCGAGGAGATAGTGCATCCAACCAGCGTGGATTAGGGACCATGCTATGACTGGTAGAAATTCGACCTGGGAGGTGTTAGTCTAGTTAACGGCCACCAGTATACATGCACTGTATTGTCGACTTGCATGAAAGTGTGTCTCGCATAGTTCGTAGATGTTCTCGGCCAGCACTGAGAATGGGCCTGTAACACCCAGAATGGTAAGAGGTTGACCCGAGAAGCTAGGAGATCTTGTCAATATGTATGTCTAATGCAATACAAAAGAGTGTCCACATGTTACTGACAGAGAAAAGATGAGGCCGCATAGTCCAGTGCTGAACACAACCTCGATGGTCCCCCACGATTTGCCGGTCAGTGTGTATAGATCACTGGCGAAAGTGATGCCAGGGAGAAGGTTTGTGAAGAAGATGTAGACTGCACTTGCAACCACCTGTTGGTTGAATACCTGCCAATCTGACAAGTATCGACTCTTGAGGTTGACAACATCTTCCTTCAGCAGTCGAAAGGGCCGAAGTTTCCCATGTCTTGCAAAGTACCAAGATGCTCGCCCTCCTCCGTTTGTAGGGCTCGAGGCATCATCCTCAGCTGGGGCATTTTGAGTGTTTGGTGTCATGGTATTTCCAGAGCCGAGCGTTGGCGTCCACTCGACGACATTGATAGTGTCTTGGATAGGCTGCTCTGGCCCAGCCATTGTTCACGTCGGTCCTGATACAAAGTGACAAGACAGGATTTGTCGTTTCTGCAAAGGATTTGAAGCACATGTTGGAAAACTCCCATGGTCGATCCCGGGGGCTCTGAGTCAACTTATCATTCTCTCAGTCTCGCTATAACTTAGCCTTTGTTCAGTGAAAAAGCTCAAGCCCAGTCTTGGCCTTTTCTTGGCTCTGGCGAGTTTCCTTGGCTTTCTACAACCTTTTTGCCCTTGTCGGTGCCGTAAAGGGCGAGGCGGCACTTGGTTGTATCTCCCCATGCTGTGTCCTAAACAGCGTGGGCAATTCTCCAATACCAATTGGTTCAACAGGTTCTCGACGATAAGGCACTAACCGAGAGCTGAGCATGACGTAATTCCCTTCATCTCCAGCTCTTATCGGCACGTGCGGAGGGGCGAGGCTGAACATGGTGGGGCGCTAAGGCGAGGCTGGGGATCAGATTTACATCATGTCCTCTTTTTCAGGGTCCTCCTCATCCTATCACACCTCAATGCTCCACGATACCCAACTCGACAAGCCACGGCGCTTCTTCAATCCCCTTTTGAACAAGACACACACCTCGTAAAATCATACTGAATCGAAATAATGGCACATTTTGTCCCTCGGCAGAGTTTTGTCGTACCGAACTCGATACCGAAAACATACTTTATCGGCCATCATGCCAAGGGCTTCAGCGACATGACAAAAATGAAGAGCCACATCTCTCTTGCTCTCGAATGCCGCGACGCTCGGATCCCTTTCACATCACACAATCCCAATCTCGATCGCATCATAGCCGGCAACGAGCGAATCATCATCTACACAAAATGCGATTACACGACAGACACTCCGAATCTCCAAAACACGCTGCGCAAGATTTACGGTGACAATATCATCTTCTGGGACAAGCTCAGACCCTCTACGACAGATAAGCTACTCAAAATGATCAAGAGCGCTGCGGTAGCTCACGATTCAATAGTCGGTTTGCGGGCCATAGTTGTCGGAGTGCCCAATGTCGGCAAGAGTTCAGTGCTCAACGCCCTACGCTTCAGAGGCATACCGGGGAAAACGGCCAAGGTAGCCAGGACGGGAGGCCAAGCAGGCGTGACGCGCAAAATTGGTACAAACGTGCGCATCCTCGACCCAGAGGGGAAGAGTAAGGGCGTAGGCCTAAATGGTGCCTTTCTGGTGGACACCCCTGGCGTCTTCCCCCCCTACGTTCGTGACGGCGAGGCTATGCTAAAATTTGCGCTCGTCCAGGGCATAAAAGACGGGTTAATACCAACCGAGATACTGGTGGATTACCTCCTCTACCGGATGAACCTCTTCAAGCCGACCTTGTATAGCAGATACTGCGAACCCACCAACGATGTTCATGAGTTCCTTACCGCCGTTGCTTGGAAAGATGGCCTAATAAAGCTAAAGGGCGTTCCTGATTTGCAATCGGCCGCTTCCAGAATCCTACACTTATGGCGACATGGGAAAATGGGCAAGTTTGTGCTGGATGATGTATCTGACGAGGGATCAGAGAGGCATCAGCAGTCCATAGACAACCCTCCTCTGAGTCTAAATCAAGCAAAAAAACAGAAGAAACAGGCGATTGCACAAGAAAAGGCAGGCGCCTAGCATTCTCAGGAATTCATTTCTGTACCATACGTTCGTTGTATACTAGAGCATACTCCATGTACACTATTTAAGCCTATTCTGTCATCTCGTGCCAAACTTGATTCGAGTTGTCCTCCTCCATGTCTCTCTCAAATTGTGCAAAGACGCCAATGACCGAGCCCTCGGGCCGTACTAGGGTATATATAGAAAGGTAGCTGGAACAACAGCTTCGCCTCCCGAAGCGATTCCATAGAAAGAATAATATCGACCACAGATTATGGACAAGCTCATACAACTTTGCCTGCTGCATCTGCTGCGGATACTGGTGACGCCCCTTGATGCTCCTAACCGTAAACGCCTTAAATAAAAAATCGAGCGCAGATCCCTTGTCTCATCATGAAGGACCTACTGAAACAAAATGCTGCCTTCAGGTATACTGATTCTGCCACTTGACCATATCTCGTGTCAGGACATCCATCATCTCTATACAGTTCAGATCCTTAAAATCTTTGCCTCCGGAAGAGTCTACTGTATCCTCATTCTCTAGAGAATGGGAATCTGAGGACTTTTGCGGCGATGCTTCTGCGTTGCTTGCGTTTCCGTTCGTGCCTGGGATTGCTTCCGCTGCAAGGTCCACTTGGGTCCTTGAAATGAAATCCATTATGGCGCCGACACGCCGCTTCATATCCACCATATTCAGCTTGTGGTGTAAGGCGGGCTTTGACTTGCCATGTCGATGTTCACTTGTGGGTTTCGTATGTGTAGGGGTGGGTTCTTCGCCGTTCTTTTGAATGTCCCTTGACATGGATCGTGCTGGGGATTCGCCATCCACATCGCGATCCCTCGTGTATTGGTTTCTGCCTTTGCCCTTCTTATGTGTAGCTCTGCCGCCGCGCTTGGCGGTGCTTGAGACCGTCTGGTTGCTCGCAGGGGGTGTGTCGGGAACGGGCAGCGCAAGTGCAGGGGTTTCCATAATAACTGGTGTCTCGATGCTTTTGGTGGCGGGAGGTTTAGCCACGGCGGGAGGTGTTTCCTCTGAAGGGTCAGAATCTATGCAACGATCAGGACCCTGCTTAATCAGAATGTACGTTCAAACTTACCCTCTCCTCGTCGCCTTTCCGCGCGGCCTTTCCTTTTATCTGCAGCTTCCTGTCGCTGGCGCTCTTTATCCTCCTTCTCCGTCTTAGTTCGCTGGTTCTTGCTGTTACGAGCGTTCTTGGCTCCATTTCGAGTGTTAACATCGTCATCTGATTCGTTGTAACTTTGAGCCTCGACCAGCTCAGTGGGGGGTGAAGGTGACATCGAATTGGTTCTCTGTCGCTTTACACTTAACGGGTTCCTTAGTGATGCCAGTTTCTCATCCCGTGGCCGGGCATTCACAGCGACTGATTCTTCACTATCGCTTCGTCCCCGTTTCGCTCGTCGGGTCATGGTTTCTTGTCCATCTTGAGGGACATCTTCTTTACTTGCTTCAATGGCGCGCAGGAGTTGCTCGTCTTCATAAGCTCGGTCGCGGCTATTCATTGTGGATCGACGTTTCGAGGTTTGTGAGGCGGAAGTTGGGCGCGAGTTCTTGCTCGTGCCAGTCTTGGGTGAGCGATTGCCTTCCTTGGCAATTGAGGTGGCTCGAGACGTTGCGCGCGACGGCCGGTTATGGGGGACATACTTGGACCATTTTTGGCTGAAAACAAAACTTGTCAGTAGTCAGGTTCGTAGGAGGGCCATCAACATGCATTGCCCGGGAATCCAAGCAGCCAGAAGTTTCAGACATGAAATCCGTCTTGACAGCAAAAACAACAAGATGGTAAATTCACTTACCCGTTGCTTGCAGTGTATATTTTATGAAGATCTTTGCGGCATTGCTCGCAAAAATATTCCTCGGGGGAGCTCTCAGCGCTAAAGATGCCAACACAGGCGCCGTGCTGCCAGACCTTGCAAATGTCGCATTGAACGAAGAAGCCGGTAACTTCTTCAGTAAATTCTATGGCATTGAAGAAATCCAGGTCGGCACCTTCCACGGGTGGGCGGCCCGGGTATTCTTCTACATCACAGATACATCGCACGGCTTCGTCCTCCTCTTCTGGGAGGTCGTCGCTGCCATTCGCCATTCCAAAATTATCGGGTTTCGAAGTCTTATCGTTTTCGTCTTCGTGGTTGCGCTTTCGCCTTCGACCGAGGAGGGTATCGTCAAGATCTTCAAATGGCTCAGAGGACAAAGAGGCACTGGGTGTAGACTTGTTGGAAGAGGGTTTGGCGACTGATCTCGTATTCCTCTCAACTCGACCAGACGTGCTTGAGGATACAGATGACTGTTGGGATTGTGAATTGGTGGCGCGGGCTCTTGATGACCGTCGCGGCGAGGGTGGTGCCATTGAGGGAGCCGGGTCACCGATCTGAGGTGACAGAGGAGAAGATGGACGAAGGAGGACGAGGGAGAGGTTGTGGGAACCGACAACGGCGCGTGGAACAAAATAGAGTAGATGTGCTCTTCCCGGCGCCGATCGAGAAGTTGAGAGGAAAGGAAATCGCGAGAATTGGTGGTGGTGAGCAAGGAATAAAGATTGTTGAAGCTGGCTAGGTAGTGACCAGCGACGAGTGCGACTACTGAAAGAAGAATGTCAAGTAAGGGCGACGGTATCGAAGGACGGATTGGCAAGCAAGCATGTCGAGACCGAGTGAGAACGCCGTGGTCATGACACGGAGAGTTGCCGCAACGATGAGTATGAGAGACGAGTGGGTGGAAGCTTTCTTCGGAACGAGGAGGAGGAAGAGGACGAAGAAGCCCGGGCATGGGCATGGGCATGTGTGGTGGGCAGGAAGGTGGGCGCGGGTCTCACTTTGCTTGGGATCCTTCCCAAAGCAAAAGCCGGTGGAACCACTGCGCGGCCACCTGCAGAACATAAAATTATAGCGCTCGCTGTGCAGACTGAGCTCACTAACAAGCTCAAACTACAGGGGTCTTTTGGGGTTCACGAACCTGAAAGCCTCTTACGGAGGCAAGGTTTAGTGCCCACTCACCGCTGAGGTGCAGCTCATCAGAGTGACCAGGCGGCTATTGGCCGGCTTCCAGTTTGAGACTCTGAGAGCGGATTGTTTCCGCATCATTTACGGAGTATACCTTGGACTGTTTCCATATTAATTGCCCTACCATGCATGCCCTGCAGTTTCTGATTACCTTAGTGACATCAGGAAAATATTGAATACCATGTTGTTCGAGTGAGCCACAAAACAGTTGTTTTACCACGCTGCAGCTCGGTATTGGTAGATTACTCAGGATGGGTTTACGCATAAAAGCATCAGAAAGGTACAGTTGAAGCTCAGAATCGTAAACACCAATCAGGGTCGTCCCTTTTTTTATTGTGGCTGCTGTCAGTAGGAATTGGAGAAGACGGGAAGGCGGGACAAGTCATGGTCAATAGGTATTACCTTCATATATTGGAGGCACCAGTCTGATTACCTAACCCGCCACCTCCCAACGGCCCTGCCTCTAAGGTACCTTAGCACCTCCACAGATTAGTACCTAGGTGGTGATTCAATCACACTCAAATACAGCAACCTTGAGGGCGTTACGGACTTCAGATTGTGTTATTCTGGCTACTCGCTTTGATAATTCTTGCTTGATAAATTTTGTCTACTTTTTGTGCCTACTGTGGCGTCTACGCTCATATAAAGCCATCCTTCGTGTCCACGAACACCCCCTCCATCACCCCGTCCATGACTGGGTAAGCGAGCCCCGACCTTGAACGACCAAGAGCGAGCGAGTCTGGCAGTCATTCGTATACCTGCTACAGGAATCGATACAAGTACGAAACGAGCCGAGCTGGTGCAGACTGGTACTCGTGCTGTGCCGAACACTCAGTCGTGATATCGGCGATATGTTCTGACCCTCACACAGAACGTTTTAGAGCCCGACCGAACCAAGTCTACCCCTCTGAGCTTCGAAGAGACAGGCATTCTTTTGCAAATCACGGTGTTTTTTTTCTCTGCGACTTGTATAACTAGTATTGCAGTATCAAATTTGTTTGCCGCCAACGAATTGTACAAGCTCCGACCCCTCGTTTGGCAGCACTTGCCCTTCGACTGTCGTGTCTGTCGTCGTTTAGAACAGAGTCTACCTAGGTATACAATGTTCGATGGGTACGCTCTCCATTTGTTTTGAATTTGGCCCGTCAGTTGCCAATGTAGCAGGTGTTGATCCTGCAACTGCTTTCAACTGCCAGCAAGGCTGAGCAGCTTCTGACGGTGTCAACAACTCTTCCAATACCATCTGCGACCATGTCGAACTTCGCTATAATTGTGGCGATTCTCTTCATCGCTCTGGTGATCTACGTGCTAACGCGAAATGTTCGTTCACGCGCAGGTCACAATCTCAACATGTCGCCAGATACCGTATCGTCACTATTCCCAGACCGACCGATTCGGCCGTTACCGAAACGTCGACTGCGCGAGAAGCTCTCACCAGGGACCGTAGAGACAATAGCGTATCCTCCTTCAACTCACGAAACTACGCCTCTCTTTTATTACCCACCATACAACTTCAGGGAAAACACGAGCCCGCCACGGGCATGTTCTACAAGCCCATCTCAACAAACTCGTCGAGCGGAGGAGGGCTGCAACTATACCCCTCGACGAAACGGGCTGGGGCTGCCAGATGTCGACGATGAAGAGCCGGCTTTGCGAAGCACTCTTGTTACTAGATCACCCCCGGAGATCTTGACTCGCGGGACTCAACGATCCTCAAAGCCAGATATCTCTGATCCACAACCGCCGCTTTCCGCAACGTCCTCTGTGGATGGTTATGACGTATTTGAAAACACGAACAACAAAAAGAAGCGGAAAATTCCTTCCGTTGGGGAGCTTTCTGTTAATGGTACCCAGGGCTCGAATAATGAGATTGCCATTTCGGCTAGTGCAGGACATTCTCCTACCGAGGAATCGCATAACGACCGGGCGCACTCCCACTCAGTCTCGCATCCAACGACAGGCACTTTTTCATCCAACAATCAGGGGATATCAGGGCCTGGGCGGGGCAGGCTTGGGCGTTCGAGGAATGGCAGAAGCCCGCTGCGAGCGTTGTCTGATGGCAATAGTAATGCATGGGCTGGACGAGGCTCAAAAGCCACTGCATCTCAGTGGACAACGGGCGGTACGTTAATCATTCTCTACTTTGTTCATGCTTTGTTGCTGTGCTTCCAAACCTCTACACGTGGATTTATCACTAGCGTTAGCATTCGGCTGAGTTTCTAAACACGTTATGCCGCTACGTCTTTCGTTATGGAGAGGCTGTTCAGCCATGGAGTTTCCTGCTCTGCGCTCCATAGCTTTCGGCTAACAGCATAAAACGGAACGGAGACTTGCACACCATCTTCCATATCTCTTCCGGTGACAATTTGCACTGCCGCCGGGCTGGTGGGATTCCCCCCCCCCCCCCCCCAATGCTTCTTCCACAACTGCGCATCTTCCTTATAACTGAAAGCCAGCTGCTAACGTGAACACAGAGCAAGAGGGCAGTGGTATAATATCAAATGCTATCGCAAACGCCGAGAAACTTCGACCTCAGGGACAGGAGAACGTGAGTCTGCTTCAGCAATACTCTATCGCAACAAGATCGACTCCAGCATCGACCCAGTTTACTTTCACCTGTGATTCCCAAGTTCCTGGCACGATTCAGTGGCCTGGTGAGTACATGTTGTACAGTCGAGACTTTGATTTACTGACATAGCCGCTAGGCCACTCGAGCAAGCACAGCATGTCCACTCAGACTAGCCCTGGCTCCCTACCACCCGGCAGTGTTGCCCCTCACGATGGGTCTTCCGTGGCAGCTAGTCGAGGCTCCGGAAGTTCTCGTCGAGACAGCAAACGACGCCTAGACAGATCACTCGAAAGGGCTGCGCGTCGTCGTCGTCAAGAGGCGCGGCGGGATCCCGCCAAAACAGCTGACGAATGGATTTGCGAATTCTGTGAATACGAGATGATATTTGGAGTACCACCCAAAGCCTTGATCCGACAGTATGAGATGAAAGACCGCCGTCGCCGACAGGAAGAAGCAGATCGCAAACGACTTCTCGAAAAGGCCAAGGAGAAAAGTCGGAAAGCCAGAAAGAGCGGCAAGAAACCTGCATCTCGAGGAGAAAATGCGGCCGCCCAGGACCCGCCTCAGGAGCCCAGCACATCTGAGGACATGTATCACAATCATTCAAATCAGTCAGGACCAGACGAGAACCATTTCCCGGATTCCCCAGGGGATCGCACTGGGCCAGACATACCGACTGAGGTCCAGTCATCATAGTTTGCAAGCATGATTCATGGGAAGGGCTGCTCCCAGCAATCGCGGTGCTCCCTATTTCAGCCTTGATGATTGGGATACGTCGGCGGCCAACAAAGCTATGAAAGGTGATGTGTACCTAGAAGTCATCAATGAACCAAGACACTGCGGTATCTGGCATCTGAAAATGAGGTACTCTTGCTCTTGAAGATGGAGAAAGGGGCAGAAGCCCTGCCTACGACAGGTTTCTTGCTTGTTACGATTGGGGGAAGTGTGGATAACAAGAGACTGAGCTCCTCGGTGGGGAGGCGGCTCAGTAACGAGACGAAAGTGACATTTGGTTTAAGGATAGGTAGAATGTTGTAGCTTGGGCCACGACAAACAACTCTTGGGTTCAATCAGTCAGCCAGAACAAAGTCACATTGTATGATAACAGGGCTATCCTAACTTGTTCAACCTTTGTTAGCCACACATTGCTTGCCTGTTTTAACTTGTGAATATGCACAGACAACTACTGCAAAATTGCATGAAAGCGGCTTGACCAAGGTACGATTGAAACGTCCTAGTCAAGCAAGCTATGACGTCAGAAAGCTGGTCAGTTCAGCTGGAGATTCATTTTTTGAGGTGGGTTTTGATCTACGGAGTAACTAGGATATGCGGAGATACGGGGCTTTATTATTAGCTTACATCAAATCCATCCATGGTTAAGAACTGAGGAAGTCAAGAGTGAATGATTGTGTTTGCAGTAGCATACATACTGAAAAGAATGCTTTATAAGACTGATTGGATGCATACGCCCTGAGCAGTGCATCTTCTTCTGATGATTTAGGTACTACGTATGGACTGTACTACAATTAGTCCATCCGAATCCCGATACCTGTTGGCTCGAGCCGGGGGGG